CGTGCTTATCTGGCAATGCGCCCGCCACGGTTGGGAAAAATTAATGCAATTGCAGAGGTTATATCAGTTACGGGTCTGGTCAGACGATAGTATGCTAAACAAATGGTGCACGGAAAGTCATGAGGAAAACCTCAATCAAGGTGAATTTGAGCGCATCTTAACGAACGATTTTTCTCTACCGAAAGACAGTATGCTGAAGGAGTGGTATAATGGAACTTATAAAAAAATCGCAAGAATCAAGCGAACCGATATGGGTGCAGATGGGCTTGAGGATATTTTGACTGAGTTTCCTCCAGCATTTGAATTTGCTAAACCACTTTGCAGAGCTATACGAGACATTCTTTTCCCGTACGGGGACAGAGGAATTATCGTTGGCACCCCGCAAGATCCGAAGCGTTTATATAATCCTGTTATCAAGGCATATGATGATGCGATCGCCAAAATCAAATCTTGAGTGTGATGAATCGGGCAAATATATCTCTTCACGCCAAATATGTAGCTACTCAACAAATCCTCAAGGACCATTTACACAAGTGCAAAATAGAAATCCGTGTACAGTCAAGTATTTCCAGAATGTTTTTCGACAGAAGTGAAGGCGCATGATCATCAGAGAGAGGGGCATCAGTTTCACGTGGTTGTATGCTTTTAGAGGCTTTCGAGGCGAGGGGACTGATGTCACTGGAGCGTGAGTGCAAATCATTCCAACTCTCTTATTTGGTCCATCCTCCCACCAAATCTTTAGAAGATGTAGAGCTTTCATCTCGAGTATTTCAAAAGTTGATGCTCGTCATATCCCGTGATAACTGTTGAACTGAGGCATCACTAAGGTAACCCCCAACCTGCCTCGATCTCCACCCAAGCCCTCGATTTTTACCATGAATGACCTTCCCGCTAGTCCAAACCATGAATTGTATAGCATCACCGATGGCGTAGTTGTCAATTGTGCTTATGCTTTGGTTCAAGTTATTGTCTGCTCTAGAGCAGATATCAATGCACTGACGGGCCGCCATTCATCCCGCAGCCTCGCAAGATTTGAATCCTCCTCTGATGCCATAGATGTCTTGGATTTTGTCAGCAACCGGTCCATGATAGCCAGAATTTTGTATTATTACAATGCTAGTATCTAGATCACATTGTTGGCCGATGTTACGAATCAGAGCTCATGTCCCTCATGTTCGATGACCTCTCGCTCGGATTAGATATGGAAGGAGTCATAGCAGGCCGCGAATATGGCCGCTTGATGGATCAGCGATTAGCCCCTGACAAAGAGTGGTTCTTCAGAGATTACAGGGTTGAGATGCTTGCCCTGGAAAGCTTGAATTTGGAGGAAGTTGGCATATATAATGACTCAAGGGATCCCAAGATGTTCCGTGCAAACCTGCGCATCATTGATGGGACTGTGAATGGGTCAGATATTAGAGATGCCAAAATTCCCCGCATGATGGGCAGGCCATTGGCAGGGCTCATTGACAGCAGCACTAAGTCATCTACTTTTGAAAATGTGGGCAAGATGAGTTCGCTGGTCACTAGCGCGCTTGGGCCATTGGAGCCTTCGGCAAACCTGACTCCCATAGATCTTATGTCTGCTGCTGCTTCGGATGTTAGTGAGAGGAGTGAGAGTGATGAGAGCAACGACCTACAGGTCATTCTCGCGCAGGTGCCTTTGGTCTGCAGTGGAATCGAGGAGAGCAAGAGCAGCAATTATAAACTGTATGCTCCAAAGTCGAACTAAATACATGGTTAACTTCTGGGTGTTGTGAATTGCAGGTTGCATTTCTTCTTCCACAGCATTAGAGGTAACTCTTTCCTTGGTTGCTTTTCTCTTATCTTCTTTTCTGTTTCCTTTTTCATTCTGACGGCTGCGATGGCTTTTCTTGGGGAATAGAAATGGTACTTCAAACCACATAGCAGGCTGGGTGGGATACCAGCGGTTCGTTTTGGAGGAAATTATTCATCTCCCATGTTGATTTCTTTTTGCAAGCGCCCATCTCCGTGGCACTGCCTCTCCTACACATTGAGTCTTTTTTATCCCATTTTCTCTTTTCTCTCTTCACTATGTAACGTCTGTCATCAATAGAAGGAGCAAGTAACCACTCCTATGCCGTTTTCATTGATGTATGCTGCAGCTTGGGCAACAGCTAAGGGAAGAAAGATAAGCAGAAGTGTAACCACAGCATTATTATCCTTAAGCAGACTTTTCTGTATTAGTGATTCGCCGCGGCATTGACCTCATAAGACCCTGTATCTCCTCCTGTGTAATAGAATCCCATATCTTCTGTAATTCATCCTTCATCTGCTCTGTAGAGTGTATCTTTTCTCTGAAAGTCTAATAAATTCAGTGTATTAGAAGGTGTGATAATGTCATTTTTTGAACAGCCAGCTCTTATTGCTTTGGTCGTGGGCCACCACTTCACTGACTAATGGTTCGTCCCCGCCAGCATGGCGCAGGTGTCATTGAACTCAGTTTATATTAGGCCACTAGGGCAAAAGAGCTCAATCCAGCGCCATGGTGGTATAGAGGGTACGAATCACCCAATCCAATCCCCCCAACAGTTTATTATGAGACCTAATCTAGCTTACCAATCAAGTGAGGGTCACGTGGTAGGGCTAGCGTAGTATAGCTAATAAGGACACCGGAGCTGCCCAATAAACGTGCCAGCAGACCTAGGACTAACGGAAAATTGTTGACCCAGAGTCTGGGTGGGGCAAAAGTTGTTCATGCTGGCGGGGTTTAAAAGGAAAATGACACCTGTAACTTGAAAGGAAAGATAAGCAATAAATTCACTGGAAGTCAACATAAAAAATGCCCCCGATCTCGATGAGTGATGATGCTAAAAAGCATTTGGATGCACTGGCGGGATGGTTTATCACTTCAAAAACAAGTCAAGTCAATGAAAATGCAGAGAAATGTGCCGATGACGAGCGTCACGCCAGGCTTGAGCCTTTTCTTCGAAAAATGGGCCTTTATAAAAAGGTACGGAAAATTATGCGGCACAAGAGCAAGAAGGGAAAAGCTGACTATTTGTAGGGCTATCGTCATGTTCTCTGGAGACTATCTGGGAGAACGACAATCTCAAAAGATTCTGGTTTTGATAATATCTTCTTCCCATTATCGAACGCGATTGACATCTCTGGCGACCACCTCCATCCGGGACAGTACATGCGAATCTCGAGTTCCCAAACCTTCGAAGCGGCTCTCGATTTATTGATAGTTATGATTCCGGAAACCGACAACCTATGAGGACGATTGTATGAGGAAATGACAGGCTATGGATTGACACAGCTGTAGGAAAATATGCAACTCCGCTGCATGGATGGTGTTACTACCATGTTTATTGTTTTACATATATAGGCTTGAATGATATCTGAATGGGGCATTTGAGTTTGTGAGTAAAGCTTGTGTAGATGCTGGCGCTGAATCAATAATATCCACATGTGGTTCTAGAGAAAGAAATTGCCCAGGATATTGTTCGGAGGAATAGCTAGAGGGAGGGTTTGTAAAACCGGTAGACGTAGGAGTAGGTGCTGAATCAATAATATCAACATGTGGTTCTAGAGAAAGAAATTGCCCAGGATATTGCTCAGAGGGAGGGTTTGCAAGACCCATTAAAGATTGTGCAGGAGTTTGTGCCGACTCTATAATATCTGCATGTTGTATCATATGGAGAGACCGGCCAGGAAAACACTGTTCAGACAGCTGAGGATGCTCCATTTCGTCGATATCAATTGAATCAAAAGCACTGATTGCTGAGGATGTAATGAAGTTGTTTTGTACAGAATCTGAGTCTGACTGTGGCACAAGCAGTTGAGGGCGGGGTCCATCCACATTCGATGTTGGAGCGTGTGTGGTTGGCTCCCCATGGAAGATATTCGGGTCACCGGTTAGAATATGCGCAGATTGTTGAGGGTGGGTTCCTTCGTGCTGCTTCATAGCCGAGGATATCTCTTCCTCCAGACGAGGCCATATATAAGCAATAACTTCCTCCAAGATTGAAACATCACTGAATTCCTCCACAAATCTGCGAATGCCTTGTTGAAGTGTTTTTATCAGCTCATCACGTGCTTTGCCAGACCTTGGCAGATCCTTCTCCCAGCTATAAAATTGTCAGCCTGCTCTTGTCAGTTGTTTAGAACCTACTTACAATGTGTCGGAGATATTGTCAGGGAGGACAAATAAGAAATCAAGCCCCCCACAAGCCATTGCCAGTGCCTCATACTTCTCTCCTCTTGATGCCCAGTCGCCAAAATTTTCGTAAATATCCGACGCATCCTCAACAACAAAGCCTGAATGTAGAAGGATGAAAATAAGAAGTTCTTGGGCAACAGGAGATAGGCGAACATGTCCTAGTCTTGCCTTCAAGCGAGCGAAAATAATGAGGAAGATTCTCCGCTGCAATTTGCTCAACTTTGTATCAGTGAGAAATTGATAGCATTGAGCGAGAGGGAACCTGAGATCAAATTTCCTGCCAATTGACCTAAAGAAGTAACTGGGATGCCCCTTGCAATTGTTGACAAACTTTTCCAGATCTGAGGATAGAGTGATGGCAGTTTGAAATTTTTTGGTTGCCCTCTGTGTGGGGCTTTCACGGCCGGTGATTTTGTTTCTTGCGCCAGCTGGTAGTTCTTTCCAAATCGATGTGGCATAAGAGGCAACCTGTCTGGTTTGAGTAACAGGTGAGACAAAACTGCATTGCAAGGGCGACTCACCTGTGGATTGGAGAGGATGTTTTTAATCTGACTCTGCACCAGTGGGTCAGCGAGAATATTTTTATTCTGGCTTGGACCATCAGTCATCTCTGCTTCATTACAAGCTCTAGAGAAGCTGGCAACTAGCAATTTACTCTCTGTGATACCCATTTTTCTGTCAGTGAGGTGATGAAGTGTTGTTGAAAATGTAATGATGGATTATGTTGGGCACCAGTTGCCCAGGCGGCCACTCCACTGCACGTGATTACCACTATACACGATGAGTAGATTAAATCCATGGAGGTCCTATGGACAAAAGCTCTCCACCCACACACATATATTAGCCCGCCACTAGATAGATGATAGCCGTTAGGCCACTGGGGCAAAAGAGCTCAATCCCACCAGCGCCACGCCGGTAGTAGAGGGGATGAACCAATCCAAACCCCCCAAGGTTCAACCCTCTTACAAAATATCCTCCAGCCGACGCTAAATTGGAAAGTGGGGCCAACTGAGTTTCCAGTCCCTTAGACCCACTTCCAGCAGCCGCTAGTGGATAGTTTGGCAACCGTTGATTTGCAAGGAACTGCCAACTTCCTCTTTGAAATCAAACCCATCCAAAGTTTGAGAGTGATTGGCAACCCCGATATGGAAGAAGAGAGAAACAGCTTTGCTGCTCTATTTGTGAGGATGGCAAGTACCCAGCCAACGGCGAGCCTCAGCTAAGCATCAAGTTTTGATAGCACTGACTGGGACTCGGATACGATTATTTCCCTAAATTGAGCTGCTCTCCAGCCAAGGCTACTTTCTTTTTCGATAACTCTTGTTCAGGGAGAGTGAAGAAGAGATTGACCACCTGATGAACCACAAGACATCTCTCCGCAACGGATCATTTCAAAATGGACCACCTATACTACCCTTTCTTACAAAATGTATTCTAACATCTCATATGCACTTCTGTCGGCAGTGCTCATTGTGCTAAGTACAGTAGTGAGTGTGCTTCACCTACTTAGAAGAGCATGGCTAACAGGCAAGAATATTGAAACTAATCCCACCAATCTCCAGTCCCATTCCTCCAGCGATGGTCCGTACTTGATTAACAACGCCCATTGTTACTCAGACTATCCTGCGTGGTGATGTATGAAATACAAAGAGAATTAACATCACCATGCTAATTTCTAGTTTGTCGCGGCAATGAAAATGCCCTCTTGGCTTTCATTGTTTTCATCTCAGAGCCCATACTTCAAGAGCGGCTGGAGTATCTGAAGGCTCATACTCATCATCTACACAATATCCTTCACACATTCTCTGAGAATAGATTTGATGGACCTCTAGCATTACCATACGCGCTCTTAGTTGTAAAATTTCTCCGACTAATCGCCCCAATTTCAAAGTGCCTGACGAGATTTGGAATGGTGCTAACTCCTTGGATTTGGGTATTGCTGATGTGGCTGTGATGTTTGGTGTTGGCTAATGTATTTTACCATTGCAGAAGGATAATTTTGTTGGTAATCCTATATCAGAACAAAGTCTCAAGTAGCTAGTACCATCAAGTTCTTGCTCTAACTATTATTCTTCAACTATTGGAGCAATTCCTTCTACTGATTATTTTTCACAATGAAACTTTTTGTAGTGTTGGCCCTAGGCTACCTATTACGGACTAGCGTACCACACATACGCGGCGTATGCCTCAGCTGCCTACACGCATGCTTCACTCGCTTCGCACGCTTCTCATACTTGAGATTGCTTGCTATGCTCGCTATGTTATATAAGCATAAATATCATTTTATACTATGTATACACCACTAAATCACAGTCAAATATACGAGTTGTGATTTGAGGAATTTGGACCAGTTGATAGATGATCTTAAGACTGCAGCAATTGTCATCTAAATTTTTCCACATTTGCTAATTCCGTTCTTAGATGTCAAACCTTAAAGTCCATCCATTGAGCAGACTGACTATATACCAACCCACTCTCCCACAATTGCATAGCTAATGAAGCAAGTACAGACCTCATTATGCAAAATAGCAACAAATTTAAGCAGGCCCTTTCAGAAAGAAACACAGAACTCGAGGAGGAAAACCGCCGCCTGAAAGAACAATTGCAAGTGCTCAACTTTGGGAAGCTCTGCTGTCCACGATGCCCACGGAGATTCAAAAGACCCGATAGACTCTACCTTCATATTCGACAGGGCCATCGAGATTGGGCAAAGTTATTTTCAGATAAAAGCAGATGTGATGAATGTGATAAAAGCGTCCATTTCTACCTCCGGCACCTCCGCGGTCATCATAAGGACAAATATCGAGCAACACTTAGCTCGCTGTTCAATATCGATATTCCCTACGATGCGACTGTACCCAGTCCACCCCACTGCTTTGATATTTCATTCATCAATCTCTATTGTAGACTGCAAGCCCCAGAAGAGATTGAAGTGATTCGCCGCTTGAATGATCAAGCTTCCATCAATGCACCATCAGAAGGCGCGACACCGAAACCCATGTTGACAACAGCTACACCAAACTGTGAGCCTGCTCAAGATGCAGAGCAAAGTATGCCCTCCCAGCAATTCCCTCGCTACGATGCCCCCAGTGAAGATCCATCGCTCCAGCATGCACTCTCCAGAAGGTTCCAACCATCACATATGATTACCCGAGCTCCCTGTGAAGACTCATCGCTTCAACATGCACTCACAAGGGAACCATGGCCAAGGATGGCCTTCCAGACTTCCAATGAAGACCCATCACTTCAACATGCACTTTCGAGAGGGTTCCAACCATGGACATGCATGATCCCTCAGACTACTAGCGAAGATCCATCGCTCCAGCATGCACTCTCCAGGAGGTTCCAACCATCACATATGATTACCCGAGCTCCCTGTGAAGACTCATCGCTTCAACATGCACTCACAAGGGAACCATGGCCAAGGATGGCCTTCCAGACTTCCAGTGAAGACCCATCACTTCAACATGCACTTTCTAGAGGGTTCCAACCATGGACATGCCCCCAGACTGCTGGCGAAGATCCATCACTTCGGCATGCACTCTCCAGGCAAAGTATGATCTTCCGGACTTCTGGTGAAGATTCGTCCATTCAACAGGGGACACTCAGAGAAAACTTTCCGCACCTTACCCGTGACAGTACATTCAATGTAAACCCATCACTTGAACACACCATATTTCAAGGAGAGTGGGAGAAATTTCAGAGTCCCGCTACCAATGTCCCATTCTCTCTGCCTAATGAAGATGCCTCATTTGTATTGTTTAGTGGACAGCAGTTGAGCACACCTTTCACTCCACTTGCAGATTCATCACTTGAACAAGTTCTGCAACATGTTCAGGCCTTCCAGTGAAGAGCCGGCGGTTCTAAACATGGGTGGTTTTAAGGGTTCACAGTGTGGTCTTCTGGATCCCGCCTTAATGCACTACTAAGGTCTACCTTGACCCTTTATGGAAGCTAGATATTAGGTATCATTTTAATTCATCTTAATTCATGCAACTATTCCATAATGCAGATATTAACTCTTAGATCTTCTTTTTCATCACAAGTAACATGCAAAGACCTCCTCCAGTCAAAGGGTAGTCTATCCTCACATTTCCATCAAGAATCAGGGCTTGATCCAGTTGTAAGCAATCAAAAGATTGGGATGATGATATGCATCGCCCATTCCGCATCTTAAAAAAACCGTTATTGGAGTCAAGGATATCCTTGAATGGCCTGAAGATTAGGATGTAGTTCGGCCCTACACTAACGTTGAGGAGCGGCCGGTGGTTTTTGCTCATCAAGACAACCATTCGAATCTTTTCGGCATCACTATAAGGGCCACATTGTTGCTCGATGAGAGTATTGCCAGATAACTACTCGTTACATCAGTGAAATTCTTAGTAGATGAGAATATGGACTCACATTCAATCCATGATGAAATAGCTCATCACATTTACTACCCCAGCCCAGTGGAACATATCCAAATTCAGAAAATGCCTCAGTCTTATCCAATGTGTTTTGTATCTCCTTTCGTGCGTCGGAGATCAGGTCATCGTCCGGCGGTAGGCATCGTACAACATCAAATAGAGGCTCCTGGTCCATTTGTCGTGTCGTTATTTCTGCAGGTGAACCAGTGGAAATGGAGGGTATTGAAATCATCGTTGACTGGTGAGAAGAATTTGTCGGCTGGCGCGAATATCCATACCTGTCCCAAAAATGCATAGTCACGTGCTCGTACAACGTCATATGTTGCAGTGCCCAGGTGAGCAGTTGGGGTCTTCAACGAGACATATGACTTGCAGCAAATAATAAATTTTAAGACTTTTGATCACTCGTACGGGAGTATTGATGATTTTATGTGTCCTATTATTGTTCACAGGGCAATGAGGCTGCTGATCACTTTGACCCAGTCGAAATAAACTGTTTCACCGACTTTGTGGCTCATTCTGATGGGTTCTGTAATCCAAGGTAATCGGGATACTGTCATTCCTTTCACACTACGAGCGACTGCTATTTACGTTGACGAAAAATTCCGAATCAGGCTGAGTCCATGGTGATGTGTTCATATTTGATTGCCTACTAATTGTGCTAATTTAGAGGATTTTGAGCGACTACGGTGGGCAATCTGCTCAAGTGTAACAATCATTAGAGTTTCATTCTTCATGGTGGTCGGTGCTCTCAAAGGCCCTCCCTAAATGCTGCATCCGCCTGGATACACTCAAAGATTGTTACAATGGACTAATATTTTCCAGAACTATATCTATATAAGCCATGGAGATGCCGCTCTTCCATTTTCAAGAGAGCTGTTTACAGTAGCAACAGTCGTCCTTTCTAAAACTCTCCCACCGCCTCCAATACCGAACGACAGTGCATGCGTTGAGAAGTGTTTGTCAGCTTGTTCAGACTTCTGGTCAACAGATCCAACAACCCCATTCCCGCGACTGTGCATCTTTGCTAGGTGGATATTTTGCTGTGGCCCTCCACGCTCGGCTGGATGCTCCTGTCACCACCCGCCCTCATGGAGAATACACTTGCAGGTGTGATCTGTACTCGTGAGTTTTCTGTGGCTCGGTCAATAGATGACTCGGGAGGAATGTACATCGAAGGCAGCGCGCTTTCCATAATCCCAAAGAGCACGGATTTCCTTCAGTCGAGTGATCTCTCATCCCAGGTATCTCCGGACGGGATATGAGAACTACGTGTCGAGTAACACGGTACCGGCTCATAGAGTGAGCAGAACGGAAATGGAAGGTACCGGAATGGAGCCATGTGGATTCCGCCCAAGAGCCGCGGCCAGAGTCTGAAGTCAAGAATTGGTGTAAGAGCAGTCTTTCCCCCTCGCTCTCGCTCTCCCAGAGCATATACTAAGCTTCACCCAAGCCGCGTCCAAAAAAACCCCGGAAACAGTAGAGATCACGCTTGGGCCTTTGAATCGGCACATTCCTTCGTGGCGGTTCTCTTTGTGTCGTTAAAAAATGATACTACAATAGGTCACTGCAAGCAAATTGCCGACTACTTGGCCAAACCTGGTCAATGTATGTACTACTCGAAAAAGCAGAAGTATCAACATGTTTGCAGCCATGGATACTTTGTTGCCAGTCAATCCCCCTGTTTGGATGGGCTCGTGTCCGCTAAAGAAAGTGTGAGGCATCATAATCATCATCAGAATAATTTTCAGTGTGTAAACAGGCTAGCGTCGAGGGAGGAGCACCCAGATGGGTGCTTAATTTTCTGTTCTAGCGAGTACCCAGGTGGGTTCTCATACTAGCAGACACAGCTGAGCCATTGGAGGACCCACCTAGATGGTGCAGTTACAGCTACGATGCTGGGCAAGGTAAATATCAATTGGGAATATACATAAAGTACATAGTTCCTCTGTTTCGGGGGGGAACATTGTTTTGCTGTTACTTCCTTTTGAAATTTTTGTTCGTGGATGCACATCCATTTACTGCCTGTTACTTTCCATCATCACTTGAATCCTGGGTCGCTCTGTGTGTCTTGAAAAACAACATCACAATGTCTCCCCAACTAGAGATCCCATATATGCATTATGTTTTAGTATACCTGGATCAATCTGGGAAGATCCAATATCAGCTTTCGCCATCGATGCAAGACCAACCACGGATTTTATCTCTGAACTTGGAGAAGCATTTTTTACAACACATCCAGCGAGAAACTATACACAACAATTGCCAATTTCCCCGGGAACACATGCGAAAACGCCAACGTGTTGAGTATTCAACTAGTGACGACACATCCGAGGAGTCCGACTTAGATGAGCCAGTAGAACAAAGTGAACCCATGGATAAGATCACCTTACCGATCGGAGATGAACAAAAGGTGCTGGCTTATTATGTGGAAGCCTTCAAAGCATTTCAACAGATCAACTGCCGTGAGATTGCGAAGGCTTGTATCAAGGTGATTGAACCACACAAGCAAACGAAACATCCATATAATGGGGGAAATACTCGGGATCCTGAAAGTACTAAGCCATGTTGGTGGCCTACTGATGTGATACACAAAGAGCCGGACCATCTAAAAAAACATGGTACGATGATCAAATCTCCTCTTCCTTTCCAATGCTTATAAATAACAGACCGTATACAATTACTTATTCACATATTCCGGAAGAGCCGTTGCTCTGCAAGGAAGCTTCGATATGCGAGCAAAGAAGTACAGCAACATATTAAACCCCCTGAGAAATTAGACATTTTGAACGAGATATACCGTGTGAGAGAAGCAGAAGAGCGCTATGAAAGGGGTGAAATTGGTTGGTTACACCTCTATTTTTATGGCTATGTTCTATCTAACGCACTGCCATCACTAGATGCAAATTCAGAGATTTTTGTGACCGAGAAACGCAAAAAGGTTCTGAGGACGATCAGGAATACAATAAAACACAGGACCGAGAAACAGGATTCAGATACCGACAAATATCAACCTGGAAATATGCCTGAAAATGACCCAAGTGTGCGGAAGTCTCCTCTCAAGCAGCATTGGACAATTCCCAATTTTGAAGACAGTGGAGCGATGTTCCCACTACCAAATGCCTCGGAGGGAATCAAAACTGAGTATGAGAAGTTCACACCAATGGTATCTCCCACCGGTTATCTGAATGGAATCGCTGCATCATCGGGCGAACGATCATCCTATCAAAGATGTGCCAGTGCCGAATATCAAACAGTAACATCATTCCAACAGCCAATCCCTAGCATCTATCGTGCTGGTATGATTCCTCCTCAACAGTTCATTCCCCATTCTGTTCCAGCGGGTTCGTATTTGCCATATGCACCCATTTCCACTTCCTTCACGACACAATGCCCATGTTTCTGTCCTTTCGTGCCGGATAACTGTGGTACCGACACTCAGTCGACAAATCTGGGAGCATTTATGAATGCCTTCCAGTGGAGTCGCCCCTTTGAATGGTTATATATGTCGACCATCATGGGCTGCTGAAACTCATAATGGGGAATATTTTACTGTTTCTGAGTGCGCTGACTTTGAGGCCAAGCTGGGGAATGGATCAAAAGATGTTGTCGGTCGTTTGTTGTGTCTTGTGGCCACCGGTGTGGAGAGGTTGAGAGGCGATGAAGAAGATGAAGAAAGAAGGGCAGAGCAAAGGGGAGTGTAGATAAGAAGAGGATTGAGAGACAGAGTTTTGATGAGAGTTTTGATGCAAAGAATCCACCACTGTATTTTTGTGGTTTTGTATTTAACTTAAACGACTGGGCCCAATGAATACTAGAATGGAAAGCAACCTCCAAGAACCTTCCTATCCATCTCTGGCCGCTGTATACTTTCATCTCCCATACTTCAATAACGTCGCTGCTGCTTTCCACCGTTCTCCTGGTTCTCTTCTTGAGCTATGTCTAGTATCATTGTGTGTTGATCAACGCACTTCTGTATAAGTTTGGGATTCAACCTTGCTGTTTCGATTGTCGACTCTTTAACGACCTGGTTTTGCTGCTCCATTTTGCGCTTCCCATTCACAGTGATTTCTGTTTCATCTGCCAATAGACCCATAGTTTGGAAAAGACATTTGGAATTTTCTGTGAATAAATAATATATTTACAAAGATCAGAAATTGTAGCAGATACGAGGTACAAATAACTAAGGGCAGATTTCGCTCACATAAGAGACACTCATGCTAGTGCAAAAACTGCAGAAAGGAGAAGATAATTGATTTGCTTGAATGGGTTCATATATGCATTCTTCTCTACTCTGGCTTTCGCCCGTATATCACATATAATTCACGGTATATGTGAAGTTCCTCTCTTTTCAGATCATCTCTCACCAGGGCCAGACATACTTGCAACTCATCCATTGACCACTGAAGACCTTGAGTGAAAACATGGAGTGAGAATGCTTCCAGTCCTTCCAGAATATCCTGAAGAGCAAAAATGCCCAATTGCTTCAATTTATTGCCTTCTGACCATGGTCCTATTGGAATCTATTTCATTTTAGTGATTGGTCTTCATCAAATGTATGAAGCCTGACATACCTTGAATCTTTGGATTTTGATATTGACAAAACCAGCTTTTCCCATCCTCTGTGTGCAGATAGTTGCTCCGCAGAAAGGCTTTTGCAGCTTATTCCGGCCCTCTATGATATACTGTTGCCATCAAGTGCATGTACAGCTGTTTTATGCGTCTCGTCATCCGAGAGGAAGCCGTGTTCAAGTGATTGAAGTTCAAAGTATCCGCCAGGTTTTAAATGCTCAAAAGCTCCTTTGCACAGTCTTTCGCAGTTGTAGATTGAACCATCCAACTCACGCCCATGGATGAAATCAAATTCGTATGGCAATTCCCATTTCTCAAAGTCGTCAATCTCAAAAATGCAATTTGGTGGAACACTGGAATAAATCATAAGCCAGAGCATATTTGATATGGTGGGACACTTCTTACAAGGTAGGTTGGATTGGGCTTAAATCGTTTCCTCGAACCACCGCACTGGGGTAACGTAATCAACCACTCAACGCCCGCTATTTTGCCACCACTACAATGAAATCTTTTCATTAATATCTCAACAACGCAATTAGATTTTAATATGATATATTATATGATGAAAATATATATAGAAAATTACATATAAAAATATATAGCTAATTCAAAAGATGTTTGTTGGGCTTAATAACTCGCCCGGAACGCGAAATCTTGGGTGGAGGCAGATTCAATGAGCAGGCAGCGGTCAAATCCGTAGGGGTTGCAATATCATCCGGACCCCCCGGCGGCGGACCCGCGGGCAACCTGGCAGAGCTCTGAAAACGCGATTTAGCCACTCTTTGCGAAATCGAGGGTCTGATTTCCCGATTAGGAAGGTGATTTTTGGACCCCCGAACCTGGCCCCCCCCCAACCGCGATTGCTGCCGCGCAGCAGCTCGTTCTTCCTTTTCCTTTTGCTCTTGGGCCTTCTTTGCATCCCTAAGCTCCCTGTCAATCTGCCGTTGAGCGGCTCTTGCGGCCTTATCCATCTCCTTTTGCTCCTTAGCTGCCTGGCGAGCTGCCTCCCGCTCCATTCGCTGTAACATGATATCTGTCTCCTTCTGCTCCTTAAGAATAGCGTGTTGCAACTTGGCATCCTCCTTACGAGCCTGTTCATCCTTTTTGGCGGCCTCTGCGGCAGTCATCTGCTCGCGGATGCTCTGCACCTTTGCCGGTGAAAAGAACTGTGCCAATGACGGATTTGAAGAATCTAGCAACCCCATTGCCCTGCCACGCTTGCGACGTCTTCTTTCCTGATTAAGAGCTTGCTGTAGCTGCCTGTTCTCTATTAAAAGATCCTCTTTATCAAGAGCAAGATTCTCTCCTGCACGGATCACCTGGTTGAGATCGCTAGATATTCGACGCTGCCGCTGCTTGACTTGCTTGACTAATTTCCGCATGCCAATAATAGATGTAGGGGTTCTGGGTCGATATTGCGCGTCTGGGGGGGTGCAAGGGCGTATTGCAAGCTTTTTAAGAACCTGTTCTGGATCAAATGGATGTAGGCCAACCGCAGCGAACGCGGATATAATATTTGAGGATGTAACTGATTCCTTCCAAGCAGCATCAAATAGCTGCCAAAAAGACCTCTTTGTAGTGCGTACAAATCCCATACCGGTTCTCATTCGCTCATTCAAATGCTTAGAATATGATTTGCTCAATGGTCCAAATATCCCAACATCTAGCGGTTGTAATCGGTGTGTAGAGTGGGGAGGAAAGACAGCAAGTAAAATCTTATGCTGAGCCGCGTAATTGATGAATGCCATATTACATGGGATGAGTGGCCATCTAATATAAGAAGCAGTATCCACGCCTGCTTTCTTTTTTGTATGAGGTTCAAAGATCTTCTTTAACCACATTAACCCATATTCATCATTGCTCCATCCATTCTCTGAAGCAGCAAAGTAGACCTGATCCTTTTTGCTATCAAAATCTTCCAGCCAAGTATCTTGCATATCCCTTGATTCCCCTTGATATATGAGAGCAGGTGGGAGTGAGGTTCCATCGGCGCAAATTGAGGCAAGTAGTGTAATGAATTCGCGGCTGCCATCCTGGCTGGCACCTATTGTACGGCCGGATTTGAGCGCATTAATTGATACAATACGCTTGAGGGTGTGGATGAAGCCCAATAGGAATCCTTTTTCATCGAAGTTGTAGATATTCCCAGGTTCAATATTGTATTTAGTGATCTTTTCCTGTAGCTGCAAATCAACAATAAATTAGCAAGATAAAAGTAAGAAAAGCAGTAGAGAAAAGCAATATATACAAGATCAAAATAATGCTTAAAGTATGTAGAATTGTCCGCAATCTTGCGTTTTTGGTCGATATTTCGCAGGTAAACTGACTTGATTACATCCTTGTGGCGTTGACAGAACCTTGCCACCCAGTTGGCTCCAATAGGTTCTTTTAATATCTCAACAACAAGATTATGAAGGATTTGGGGCGTACAAGGGAAACCGCGATCTGCCAATCGATTGATATGAAAAAGGAGTCGATTTTCTTGCGAATCTGTGAGGATTTTGCGGTGGATAGAGGTTGCTTCCTTTCTTGACGTTTGAACACCTCTATAGCGCCGTGAGAGTGTATAACGACTGATTCCATATTTCTCAGCGGTCACAGTGTAATTAGGAACCAATTGGGCATTCAAATCATCAATCGCGGACAATATAACTGCCTCGTGGTGCATCTTGTGGGTGTTTGAAGATGGATGAAAAAATGAGGATTGGGTGGGCGTTGAGTGTAGACGGGCGTTGAGTGGTTGATTACGTTATTTGCTGCCCATGATTGTTAGCCACGCTTGAAGTCATGGACATTTGCTTCAGAGGTACGCACTCGGCACATTCTATCGCCCAGATACCTGTTCCTGTTCCCATATCAAGAATGTACTGAGGCTTGTCGCTAATGGGAGCAAGAAACAACCGATAATCGAAGGCGAGTGTATACATCCTATGCAACTGTGCCCTGGTCAGATCTTATGCAATGAGTATCCAGATACCATCATTTACCATATCCATCCGATCCTTTTCCCGCTCATCGTTCGGCTATCAACCAGTTAATAACCATGTTTCTCCACCATAAATGGAGAGGACTCACAAGAAGGTATTTCCCTTTACAAAATGCATGATATGTTCGGCCATTCTGCTCATTTAGCTTGTGCGAGCCAAGTCTGTTGAGTTTCTCTTACCTGAGTCCTGAGATTGTTAGCTGGGATAGCCATTTTGGGTATGAAACAAAGTACTTACGGATAATCGGTGATACTTTCTGTGAGGGAAAATAAGTCATCCTCCAATTCAGAGTGGTAGCTGCTGGTACTGTCCATCTCCTCCTCCTCCTCCTCCTCCTCCTCCTCCTCCTCCTCCTCCTCCTCCTCCTCCACTACCTTCTCTATTTCATTCTCAACTTCACCCACTCTAACCCCTTTCCTCTCTCCCTCCATCTCTACGCCATGAGAATGGTCTGGTAATATTGCTGTCCCAGGTCGACTAGGTAATTTGACAAACATACTGAAGAAAAGGAGAGACGATGAACATGGCTTCCAAATGTCTGATACAAGGGACAGGTTGCCCTTATATGTACGAAAGACATCGCCCTCTGTTTATAGATAGCAACAGCAACAGTGAGTGTAGGCTTGAAACCAAGGAAAATAATTTTTAGCACCTCCATTGACTCAAATTTGGTCACATATCTCATTGCTAATGCTAATAATTCAACCAGTTGCAAAAGCATAGGTAAAAATTGTACTGGCTGGCAGGGCAAGCGCCATTCAGACACGGACCACCAATGCTTGTTTCTTGAGATTGCATTTTAAGTATCAACGCCTGTGGAGCACGCATTTTTAGCATTGTTATTTCAAATACAGTTAGATTTATTTAGATTGTCAAAGTGTCTTAGTCAACAACCGGTGAAAGAGATACAATATATACAACGCCGACACCAATCGAAGCTTTGATGTATGTACTTCCACAGGTTCCTCCATAATCCAATTACAAAGCTCATAACAACAGCCGAACCAACCTTCCAATCACATGTGCGCTTCCCCTCCAAAGATTGTCTTTCGTTCTCCCAGCGTATGACCTGTCCAGGCCATGTATTCAGAGCTTCGGATGGGATAGTTATGGTGTGGGTACATGACTCATAAAAAGAGAGTGTAACGGAGCCAGGATGACTGGTCTTTTCGCCAATGATATGCAGGTGGCCACTCAAGGGGCACGACTGGTTGCATCGCATTGCATCCCTGATATGACCAGCCTCAAGTACCATGGCAATGCCCGCCCATGAGCTCATAAGATCGGATGTTGAGGCTGGGAGTAGCTTGCAAGTGCCTGCACTGACAAAATAGCTATCCCCGCGCCTTAGAAGTTGGAGAACGGGAGGCGAAGCCTGGTTCCGTTAGTGAAGCTACCGCATATGGGGGAGGAGATGTACCATTGACATGATCTCAAAACTGGAGGATTTTACAGATCCTCTCTGCAAGCTATGGTGCTTCACTGAACTGTGTGCTTTCTACTTCTGCATCAGTGAATGCTACGCTGCGAAGGTCGTTTGAGACTCGAACTGAAGAACTCATATGGCAATGGAATAACATGTCAACCAACTTTGTATGATAAAAGTAAGCACGCCCTTCGCATGCAACGATGTGAGCAGACTTTCTCCTTGCGTCTAAGACAATAATTCGAGTGCAAGCCAACATGGAGGAGCCCGTATTCGAACGAAGCAACGAGCTAGCGGTGAGGCATCTCTTATAATCAAAAGCATTGAGATGCAAAGGTGGCTTCAATTAGTATCAAGATAGTGATCCCTTGCATGGGGATGGCACGGACTCAAGCTGGACATGTATATCGCTCTCGCTCTCCCAGTGTGATCGACGCAAGTTTCCCCGTGCCCTCGACACAGTCTGGAAGCCCTAGCTGCACTTTGCATACTACTAATCTTCCTCAAGGCATCCATACAATGGCAAAGATAGTCTGGATGCACGGCAATCAATCACTGTCACCTTTTCTCTTATTCTGTGCATACACAACACTAGCTGGCATGGGATCACAGAATCCAAAACAAATGCCAATCCCCAACCATCTTCTCAGCCCCCATTTCAAAAGACTTTTAAGCTGTTTTCTATTTTTTACCCTTTCTTTTATCTTACTTGATGTTGCCTTCTGGACAGTTGCAATAGCTGCGGTGTGGCTACCTGTCCAGTTGATCAAAATATTTCTTCAGCGACAAAGAGCAAAGAGAAATCAGGATTTAACAAGAGTCAGTGCTCTTCACGAACCATTTTTGACCCTGCTCCGGCAAACCAGTTCTGTCTGCCGGTCATCCCACAGACACGCTATTCTTTACCAGGATCAGTGAGTTGATGAGAATGGATGTCCGATCTCTTTTGAATCCTTCAGATGATGGAGAGAGAACGATGATCGCTGCTGTGGCATTAACAGAGTTGAGAAAGAGATCTCAGCCTCTGTTGATAACTCAGAGCCAGGTCAGTTTTCCACACAGGGTAAGATTTCTCCAGCTTATGGGTCATACCTCTGGCTGATTTCTTCTCAATGTATAGCAGCAAATGACAACTGTGGATGCGACCTGCTGCTGTGAACAGGAAGTGCTTCATCAACTTCAGAATGGAAGTACTAAACCTGCTGAAATTTCCATCCAACGAGTGTTCACGAGAGAAAAGAAACATTCACAATATCGGAACATGAAGGCAAACATCACTGAACTACCCATCGTACTGAAACAGCAGATTATGGGCCACTTGAACACGAAAGACATTGCCCATCTAGCCTGTACCTGCAAATCCTTCCTCTCGATCGAGCTATATCTTTATGAGACCTTCAACTTGGCCGCCTGCAAGAAGGCATATTTCCATGTGTTAAAATTGTCAGCAATGATCAATCAAGATTCAGCCCTGGCTGGACATATCAAAACACTTGAGATCGGTGATCTGAGAAAAGAGGATACTAGACAGAAATTGGACGAATTGGATGAATTGATGAAAGCAGCGGGATGGGAGACCAGCCTATCGGCAGATGAAAGCGTCGCACACTTGCTATCTCAATTGAGCAGCCTTAAGTCATTTTGCCTTAACCACCTTCATGGTGAGGTGCATCTAACCACCTTTAACTTTGCCACACTGCCAACCCTGACCAGACTCAAAGTACCGGCGGAATCCCTAGTATCGCACCCATCACCCCTAATCCATCGTCTGCCTCCCACATTAGAATATCTTTACGTGAAAGAGGCAAATGATGAAGTGAATGAAGACATCTTGCCTCAATTGCTGATAGACTATATCACCGCAACTTCTTCAAGGTTAAAGCTGGTATCCATTCAATCATATGCTGAATATTGGAAAGACAGAGCCGCCTTGTTGGACAACACATGTAAAAATTGTGAAGTGAAACTAGAACTTCAATACCGAACAGGAATGCGTGAAGCTTGGGGTTTCGGTTATATGGCGATTCTGAAAACTCATGGAATAGAGGGTCGTTCTCAATGCATGCCACTGAATTGCTAAACCGATAAATAGGTGTGGGTCACGTGGCATTCTAGTGCATCAGGCTATACCCATTTATCATCCCTGTATCTAGCAAACCACTCTGCACATATATAGTGCATACTATTTCCTCATGAGAAGGAAGGACTTATTTCAAATATAAAGCTAGAAAATATATGCGGATTCAAGCAAAAATAGTAGAAAGTCAAAGGAATAAGAGGGAAGAGCAAACAAATGAGATATAAGAAAACTCATACAATAGCAATAGTGCTCCAAGGCAGGAATAGCGGGTCCATGGATCCTTGCTAACAATAATCAGGCTTGTGCAGCACATCATCGTGGCTTATGTGCTGCTTGTAGGCGTTCATTCCTCCCTAAGCTTTATGCCGTGGATTGAAAGCCTGGCGCGATTAAATAGCGATACTTGATAAAATTCTTTGTGATGATGTCACTTGGGAGCCCCGAAAAAATGTCTTGATGTCCTTGAAGAAGCCAAATGCATCACCCAATCATATCCATATCAAGTAGAGCTCGCTTTGTTCGGAGGCCATGTCAACTGCGCGCATCTCCCTGTTTCTTTGTGGGTTTCTCGGACATCATTGGTGGTGTTGCAATGATGGGTGTGTTATCCGGAAATAGAGGATAGGCACAATGATATAAAAACTTTCTTGAGTCTTTTTCCTCCAAAGTGAGTACCCTTGACTGCTTTACGTGCCAAGAAGTGTAGTCTTGCTGAACAATCAACATTTCTTTCTCTCCTTGAAATGTCCTCTCCCTTCTTGAACCTAGATGGAACTCCTCTCTGTGATCCTGTTCTTTGCCACGGCGGAACAGGAGTCGTCGTTCGACGAGGTGACATCGCCGTCAAGCTGCCATTGAGGTATATTGGTGATAACGATGACGATACCCAAGCGAACCGTCTCGTCATCAAACATGAAGAAGATGTGTATCGGCGGCTACAGGATTGTGATGGTGTTGTGCGTTGCTTCGGCTTCCCTGGATATTGCATTCAAATGGAGTTGATGGAAAATGGAGATCTTGCTACGTATCTGAAGGGACAACGCCCGGTGCAGTCTCTTCAGCTCTCATGGTTTCGGCAAATGGCTCATACGCTTGTTCGCATACACGACCGTTGCGTTATAGTGGCAGATATTGCTACAAAGAATTTCGTTCTCAGTGCTGACCTCTCTGTTAAATCCTGTGACTTCACTGAGTCCTCTATTCTGCCCCTTGGTTCTGACATGGAGCGCGCCGACGACCATGGTTACCTCAATTTACACGGACATTGGCCAATTGGGTGCTGTGATATACGAGGTTATAACCGGGCAGCGTTGCGAATTTGATCTGTTTAGGGATCAGCCGTCGGGGCCCGCCTGCGCAGCCTGGCCGCGGCGGGAGATTCTCCCTTCCACCAAGAATGTTTGGCTTGGTTCAATCATTGAAAAGTGTTGGACTAAAGGTGCATTCCAGAATGCGAGAAGTCTACTGGCTGCACTAGAGTTAGTCACTCTAGATTGTCCATCCGAACGCGAAAAGAAGATACATGAACATTTGGGATTCCATGTCAATGTGTTTGAGATATGGCCCCATCTCTCGCTTCCACAGGAGAGGACGCTTGACAAATATTTATCACATGAAAAATTAAATCAGACTCAGCAACTGAACTGGGCGCGGGAAGCTGCTGCTGCTGTCTCATATGCACATTCAAAGCGTGTCCTTACCGGCGGTTTTGCCGCACGAAGTTTCTTAATTGCGGATAAGCAAACACTCAAATTATGCCACTTTGCAAACTCTCGCATCGTTCCTAAATATCTAAATATTGACGAAATCAACGAGGACGGTCTATCAGTCAAGTATGACATAGCCTGTTTCGGTTCCCTAATCTACAACATTGCTACAGGAAGGAAGTTCGAAGTTCCCATCTGTCAACTACCTAATTCTAGTGCGCAGGGTTGTGGTGAGGATGCGGCAGTTTCCGAAACTAAGGACTACATGATTCCACGACAAATAGATAAATACATACATGAAGAGCTTCCTAACACAGTGGACGTATTCATGGGCAATGTAATCCGGGACTGTTGGGATCAGGACGGGTATCAGAGGGTGGAAGATGTCTGTAACGCACTCTCTGAGCTCTCAGAGTGCGATCTCTCGGGTTTAGTCTTAGGAACTATGGCAGAAAGCAACTCAATACACCGCTGTTTGCAATCTATGTTGACAGTGAAGAGCCGGTTTCGCCCTCATTTATTTTATCTTCATTTTGTTCCCGTGGTTGTGGTTGCGGCTGTCTCGCTGGTATTTCTTGTCCTACATCAAGCTTTCTACAAAGCAGCCAGGCCTGACTTATGAGACGCTGGACAGAGATTTGAGATACAGGACAGAACAGAAGTCTCATCGGTTTTATTGTATTACTACTGTCTAATTATTATGCCCAGGTGAAAGTTTGTTATTCGACTCTGATTTCCTCACACTTAATAAATTACCATTAGAGATGAAGAAAACGAGTCAGCTCCTCTTTCTCATCACGTATTAATTTAATTCTATAATATGCTATGGATGATTGCTAGGTGACAATCTAGCGCTGTCAGCGTCCTGGATCAGACCCCACTGAGCAGCTGTGAGTGCCAAAACTTCGATGACTTCCCGCAGCCAGCCTGAAGCATGCACCCTTTTGCGTCCAACATTAACGCCATAGGCGGGATCGAGGCCCCGTTGGAACTACGGTATAGTCACGATGATTGGCTTGCACTTTCTCTTCCGCTTCCGTGTGTCAGTCATCGGCGATGCTCCCCTTTCTCGGAGTTTTGAGGACCATCGCTGCTGCAAGGCGCTTAATTTTCGGTGTGGAAACTGCTGCTTGATCTCCCACCAACGCCAGCCGCGCGTCTTCAGATCCTTTAGTCGCTCATCTTCACCCTGGGTCCACCGAGATCTCTTCCTGTCCAGCTCCGCGGTTCTTGGATCTTTGTCCACACTTTCGGTGTCGATATCAGCTACCCCACCATCCATGGCACGCTCGGCGTCCGTTGAAGGATCTTTACGGAGGTCGAGGAGCCTTTGAGCAAAGGCAGACACCAGCGCGGAAATGTCCTCTGGGGATAACAGCCGCGGGCTAAAAGTATGCTCGGAGCCGCCGGCGGGTGCCACCGGACCGCAGCGTGTGCACCATTCGTGATCCACGCGTGTGGAGCTTATAGAGTGCTCCGTGGCGGCCACTGATCGCCCGCTGCGAGGTGCCCGCTTGACCTCTCGATGATGCCCAACGACTCGCGCACCCCGAGATCGAGATTGTGGTCGACATGATGTGGTAGCGGCTGACCGTGAGGAAATCTTGCGCCGCTTTGATTGCTGCTTCACTAAATCATCTCCGTCGCTACTCGCGGTGTAATCTCCGTCCGAATCATCAGAGAGATCAGTCGTGCCGGTTATGTCCCACTCCCCCCAGTTGTCATCTGTAGGCTGTGCTGGGCTACCGGTAAGATGACGGTCCTCAATCAAAATTTTACACTTAGATTTTGACCGGGTGTTCCGTTGGTGGGTCCCAGGGTCATGCTGTGCGCTTTCATTCCCCTTGATTTTTTCCGGGTCTTCTCGATGGCGATGGGAGATGGATGGAATCACAACCGCGACCATAGACTCCATAGACTCCATTGACCCGACATCGGATCGGCGGTACCGTCCCGTGAAGGGAGATTGGCATTTCCCAGTGTTGCAGGCGTCAGTCTTGCCCTTTTGTTGATCCAGTTTCACAGAGTGAGCCACCAACATGGCAGAAGTAGAATCTGCATTCTCATTCTCATCTGAGGATGCGGAGCCCCCCTGTGCTGTAGTGCTACTCTTAGAACTGATTTCTGTTTCTAAAAACGTGTGTGAGGAAAATAGGCCTGTAATTAAAGGAATGCGGTGAAGACTCACCTTGGCTGCCATGTGGGGATTCTTGATTGAGTGTTTCATCTTGCTCCCTGTTCAACTCCAACAAGTGGGGTTGCTTCTCTGATGCCGGCAGAGGATTCGATTTACCATTGCTGGTGAGTGGTTCCGCCAACAAAGCGGACTGGGTCGTAATGGATCCCACGAACAATTCCAGACTAGGTGAGGCTTCATTCGTCTTCTCCTGGCATCGATCCTCATTCCTCTTCTGAAAATCTGGAAGGAGATCTGGATTAGAGATGCAAGAAGCCCAGAACGTTCAACGCCCTTGGAAGAGAAGACACAATGAAGAAACCAATAGGCCTACCTATGGGATCATGTCGTGCACCGTACGGGTGCGGCCGCGAATCTAGAGTGATGATATCACCACAAGAAGTGATGTCAGTGGTCAAGTCCACAAAGCTCTTGCTCTCGAGGCCTTCAGCGATTCCATTCTTTATAAACACCTTATCGAAATCATTCAGCACAATAACCTGTGCCGGATCTTGGCCGCTGCGGCTGCCTTGAAGTGGGGTGCACGGTGGGAAACTGGAAGGGGGACAGCTGGGTAGGGGATGTGGTTTCAATGATACAGAGTGCATGGGCTGAGTCTGGAGAGATACAGATGTAGAGTATGGTGGGGGATTGACGACATTAGGACGGCCAGGTAGACAGAAGGGGAAGAGGGAGAGGGGATGGGAAGGCCTGAGGGGTTTCAGAGGGAGTGTTGTGAGTGTAGAGCATGGAGGGCGAAAGTGATCGGGATGGGCTTGAAAGGTTTTACGTTCTGGCTGAGAGGGGGTATAGTTGATGAACTCCATGGTGGCCAAATGATATTCACCTGCTCTGAAATGGTCTCACGGGCTGTTTTGTTCAATCTCGCTGATGAAGTTCACAATTTTGTGGGAGGAAGAAGGACATCTATATAGCAGGTTCAGAAGTGCGGCACACACTGGCTCAATGCAGAGCAAGATGGCTTGAGCTTCACTGTGCCAAAGAAGCAGGTGCCATTTTCTGACCCAAATCAGCCAAGTGCAGCCTCCTCGTCCCCGCATGGCATGAGCTAAGCCGACCAAGAACAGTCTCCCCAACCACATTCGAAAAGAACGGCGAGCCCATCTTAGCAGCCTCTCACACTGCGAACGGCATATGTAACTCCCTAATGCAACTTGAGCAAGAAGAAGGCAGCACCGGGATGATCATAATCTATTAAGAGATCCCAAATGATGCCTAGATTGGCTGCAACGATCCATTTCGCTGCAGATATAGGAACAGGCTAAATTACATGTGAGTTCTGTGGTGAGGATAACCAGCAGGGGTTGATGTTGCAAGGCATACCAGCCGATACCATCCAGCTTGCACAGCCCGCTAACACCTCATCATCCAAGCTTAAGCTTCGCCTCCAGCAAGGAAATTGAATATGTCGCCCTTGCAGGGATAAGGGATGCAGACATGCACGGCGGCGCAGATAATACGAAGCGAGAGAAGCGACGACAGCCATTCATTTGTCTTCAGCTCATTCACATGAAACACACAGAGGTCTAGTCATCAGCAACGCTGCAGTCAGACCAGATGATCGTATCGTTGTGGCTCCTCAAAGTCGTTGAATGCCTATATGGAAGCCTGTCCCAAGGATCGGTTGACAAGGCCACTGATGCGGCTGTGTCGCAATTCCAAATCTAGACCCACATGTACAGCTTCACGAGGAATGAGGCATTTTTGCCATTGGCTCAAAATGCGGCACGTCCTCTGCCCTGATATCAGGCAAAAAAAAAGAAAAGAAAAGGAAAGGAAAGGGAAGGAAAAAAGACCAGCAGTCCGAGAACGGCAATGGATGTGATGGATTAAGAGCGTGTAAAGAATGAAAGAACAGCGGAAAGAAACTGGAGGATGGAAACAGTAAACCACAGAAGAACAAGAGTACAAGAGTATGATGAGGGTTATGAAGACAATGGATTGTTGTAAAAGTAGTCGAGCTATGGCAGGTTGGGTAACTCCATTCAGCGTGGTAGTGGCGGCGGTGAGTCGGCCCAGCGTTTGTCAAGAGGAAGAGGGATACAGGCGTCAGGGTTCGGCGATCGCCGATGAAGAGGGGGGAACAAGGGAAGGCTGAGATTGGAAAGGAAAACGAGATAGAAAGTGCGTGCACAAGAGAGGGAAAGGGGAGCATCTTATATAGTTGCGATGGGTGACGTCGACGCGAGCCACAGCAGCAAGAGCAAGCGCCATCCCTGAACAGGCAGCGCCAAACCGAAATGGGACACGCCAGACCCGAACGGGCGATGCTAGGTCGGATGAGGAGGGCGTCTAACTGCAAGGGGAGGGGGCCACGGGGAGGGTGGCGCCGATGCAAATAGAAATTATACTATTCAAATATGATATTGTAGCTTTTCAATTGTTTTCAGAAAGGATAATTATGAGAAAAAAGTAATTAAATGATTTGATTGAAGAGAAAAAAAGTTATTTCTTTTATATATTCACAACTCAGAGCAGTTAGAGACTTTATGTGGCGTTCCGCCCCTAGTCTCCCTTCCGCCCTGCTCCTTCCGCCCCTGCATTATTATTCCTCCTATTCTTCCCGTATGCTGCGATCGCTCCTTCCTCTGGATTGGATCGCTGACGGGATGACTACGTATATATATAGGGGCGTTCGCCCACCTTTCTAGATTAGAGAAACTCAGACATGAATTATCCTACTAATTGAACGGTGTACGCCATACTTTAGAATTTAATTTATTAAATATAAATTGTAAATTGAAAGAGATGATATCACAATCTGTAAAGTCAGTTTGAATAGTGAAGAGTTGAAAGGTTTTTTTATGAATGTCAATTAAATTCTGCAGAAACTGACATTTTTCATATTGCTTATATTCATATTGAGTGGTTTGATTAACTGCTTTTAAATGATAGTGTTTATACTGCTGAAATAACACCTCATTTAGCGGTTGTAGTATATGAGTTGAATGTGAAGGAAATTCATATAGAATAATCTTGTGAAGATTGCGGTATTGCAAAAATTCTTCAGTGAGATGAGATTCATAATTGTTAAAAAACAGCAATTGATGACTATCTTACTGACATTTTTTAATAACTTTATTAAAATGTTGAATTTAAGCAAAGTCAATCTCATCATTGATATAATCAGTATCTGATATTGTGATTGTATATCCATTCAATAAATTGCTTTATGTATATCAATTTTTAAAATAAGTTTTAAATTTTATGATGATGAAGAGATTCAACACCTCACTGTCTGTTAAAATACATTCAATCACAATGATCAATTCTCAAGAATATGATGAAGTTATAACTGAATTCAAATTTTTAAAAGTAATAATAACTCATTCTTCACATTCTTAACTTTCTTGAAAGCTAATCTCATCAAAGTTGTAGATATCACAGATTTGAAATGTGTATTTTTGAAATAAAATTTTTAAATAATTAAATCATATTTTGATGTAGTTAATATTCTTTATAGCAATTCTTTTCAGATTCATTTTCTTCTGCTTCACTCTTTTATATTTATTCAAGTTTTGTATATATTGATAGATTCACATCTTGCTGATCACAAATGAGAAGGTTGAAGAATCAGTATAATGATATTTAAAAATAAGATTTATATTATCTTGAATTTGCTCTGTGATCAGTGAGCAATTATTTCTGTTCATATGAGTTATTCACTCTTTCAACACATTCTTCTGACTCTTGCTAAGCTTCTTGTTCAGTGCAATCTTTGCATTGCACATTTTTCTTCCATTGATTCTCACTTGAAGATGTTGATAAGGAATGTTGAATTTGTGTGTCAGAGATAGGATTTTTTGTTTTTGATTGCCATTATAGACTTCAATGGCATTCTGAATACATTTTTCAATATCATCCATCTTATTGGTCATGGTGGTGATGATATATTAATATTTGAAGGTTGATTAATGAAGAAGTTGATATTTTTATCGTTACGCTGTTTTTATCGTTAACTACAGTGTGGCGCACCCACATCAGGTGTGGGTGCGCGCGGCACGATTAGTGGGTATCCCCCTCCGGCGGATTCGGAATCATCAACATCACCTTCAATGATAGGAATCACTGACATTGTGACCGGTTGTTCTTTAGATGCGTGGTATCTGCTCGTTTGAATTTCCGGAAATGTTCATAGAGAACTTCGATGGGGAAAGGGAGGGTCAGGGTCGAGCTAGTGTTTCATTGATCTCCCAGTATTGCTGGTATTCGGCCATCCGGATATTCATATCCGTCAGGGTAAACGCCATGATCAATTAAACTCTGCTGGAAGTTACGATTATAGGGTGTGGTGCTTGTGGACTTGTTGGTACTCCTTGTATCTGCGCTTGTTGATGGAGGAAAACATTCGCGTCGCTTTCTACTCTGGGACCTTGAGCTCATTGCTTTTTTGAGGAAATTTTCCGGTTTAGAATACTGGACAATATTATCAGCAATGATGTATTTGCATGGATTTGTAGTTATGTACATTTCTAAGGTCAGTGATGTCAGGTCCTCCCAATCTGGAAACCCGCTTTATCTGCTTTGCAAGCGGGTGCACACTCACGGAGAAAGTCCAGAACAGACTGAAAAGGATTACAGTGCTTCTTCAGCTCAGTGCGAAATCATCGAGTGACAGGTCCATGGTGATTCTGGGGTGGTTTCAGGCGGCTGTTTCTTCGATCTAACTCCTCTAATGCATCTTTGGTTAACCAAATCTTTAACAGGTTATCTCAATATGATGATGCCAGCGTGTTGAGCTTCTGCCTTTTCTGAAATCGTGACCTGTCGGATGGATGAGGCTTGGGATACTGACGCTTGCGAGACGGTTTGGAGGTCACTGAACTAGGCATATGGTCGTAATTGGACTACCATTGGACCCTGTCATACTCAGCCTCTGCATATATGACAAACCCCGCTTTGCGGCTGGCTGCTCCCCTGATATCTTCATCTCAGCATGTTGGCCTACTTTGTTCTCTCGCAACTCTCGTTTGCGCATCGTAATATATCTCCCTATTCGGACGATATCGTCTCCACCGTGAGTGAGGTGTCAGCTTTTTGATCTGCATTCCAGCAACTCGATAGAACTTGATAAAAAAACTATCCTACTGAACAAAACCAACCAAAGTAGATCGACTTATTACTCCCACGTTATCCTCTCTAAATACATTTTGCTACAAGATGCGTCCTCTCGAACAGTCTACTCCAGAGATGGCTACTCAGCTTCGGACTCATGATGACTACACCGTGGGCTGGGTCTGCGCGCTGCCTAAGGAGTTAACGGCCGCTGCGGCAACGCTTGATGAAATACACGAAGAACTTCCTAAGCACCCTAATGACCACAATGCCTATACCCTCGGTCGTGTTGGCGTACATAACATTGTAATAGCATGTTTGCCGAAAGGCGAAATCGGCAACAACAATGCAGCAACAGTCGCGACTTGGATGACGTCTACTTTCCCATCAATTAAATTTGGGTTGATGGTTGGTATCGGTGGAGGAGTCCCTAAATCTGTCAGGCTTGGCGATGTTGTGGTCAGCTCGCCCACTTATGAGTTTAGCGGAGTTGTACAGTGGGATTTTGGGAAATCTCAACAAGAGGGCTTCAAACGAACCGGAGCATTGAACCGCCCCCCTACCGAGCTACTTACTGCAGTGACAAAATTAGAGAGGGAGCATAAGATGAAAGGTTCTAAGATACCACATTACCTCGACGAATTGAAGGACAACTGGCCTAGGCTTGCGCCGAGATATACCAGGCCGGAGTCTTTGAGAGATGTGCTCTTTAGAGCAAGCTGCAAGCATGTTGAAAAACCTGATACTTCCGACACCAGCACCGAGGAGAGCCAAGAGGATGGTTATGAGGAAGAGGAGGAAGGAGAAGGGGATCCTTGCAGTCACTGTGATCCGAGAGGAATCATCCGCAGAAAACCGCGGGACATGCGTGTGCATTACGGCCTTATCGCATCTGGCAACCAGGTAATCAAAGATGCGTTGATCCGGGACGATATCAATAAACGACTTGGAGGCAAGGTTCTCTGCTTTGAAATGTGGGCAGCAGGACTGATGGATAATTTCCCATGCCTTGTCATCCGAGGTATCTGTCATTATGCAGATGCACATAAGAACAAAAACTGGCAAGAACACGCAGCGTCTGTTGCACCGGCGTTTGCCAAGGAACTCCTCTCGTGAGTACCAACACAGGAGGTGGAGGAGATGTCCACAATCAAAAGTAAGGCCCATCAAGTTTTTAAACCTTTTGTTTGGTTGTTTAACATCAATGATTCTTGGACAGAGTATTCGTAAGCCTCAGCAATTCTAGCAACCATGGTTTCGCAGGTCAACTTGAAGGAGTGATTAATATCGTCAACTAACTTTATTCTCACTAACAAAACCAAGAGCATCAAACCATTACTGAGTGGCTCACACCAATGAATTATGCTCCCCAGCAAAATGATTTGATTTCCCAACGACAGGAATGTACCGGAGAATGGCTATTGCAATCAGATAAATTCCAACAGTGGGTCAGAGAACCCAAACAAGCTCTATTCTGCCCTGGCATACCCGGGACAGGCAAAACAATTATCACATCTATTGTTGTCCACGACCTTCTCAGGAGATTTCAAAATGACCCTTCCGTTGGGATCGCATATCTATATTGCAACTTCAAGCAACAAGAGGAACAGAAGCCGGCTGATCTCATTGCAAGTCTGTTAAAGCAATTACTTCAGGGACAGCCTTCTGTAGTTGAAGTTGTAAAGGACCTCTATAATCGACATAAACGCGTAAATACCCGTCCTTCACTGGATGAGCTCCGGAGTTCACTACAGCAAATTACAGCTTCTTATCAAAGGACATTTATTGTCATCGACGCACTGGATGAGTGTCGAGCTTCTCCTGATGGTCGTGAAATGTTCCTGCAAGGAATTTTCAACCTCCAGACCAACACCAATGCGAGTATTTTCGCCACGTCGCGATTTGTCCAGGAAATCGAGGGAAAATTCGACCGAAGTATCAGGCTTAAGATCCGCGCCAGTGCTACAGATGTACAAAAATATCTTGACGAAAGACTGCGGAATTGCTCGACCTTAACTCCAGAAGACAAGCCCCTTCAAGAAGAGATTAAGACCAAGATCGCTAAAGCTGTTGACGGCATGTATGTGTTATCCTCAGAGGGGGAGGATTAGCCGAGTTTGCTAACATAAACTAGGTTTCTGCTCGCACGGCTCTACGTTGATTCATTGGCCTTTAAAACAAATAAGAAGGCGATAAAACAGGCGCTTCAAGAGATAGAGGCAACGTCCAATGCACCAAATGATAGCGAAAAGTTCATAGTACTAGATACCGCCTATAAGAACGCTATGGAAAGAATCCGAAGTCAACCACCAGATTACCAAGACCTCGCTATGAGAGCCCTTCAATAGATGTCTGTGCAAAGAGTCAACTGACATCTATGGAACTTCAACATGCTCTAGCCATTGAGCCAAATACATTTGAGTTTGATACAGATAATATTGCACCTATTCAGCTTACACTCTCAGTGTTTGCTGGATTGATCATTGCCGGCGACAAAGGTGGGACTATCCATTTGACCCACTACACTACCCAGAAATTCCTTGAGCGCTCTTGGGAGAGCTGGTTTCCAAATGCTCACACTGATACTACAAAAACCTGTGTCACTTACCTATCATTTAAAGTATTTGAAACTGGATGCTGCCTGACGGAAGATGCTTTGACTGAGCGATTACAGTTATATCCTTGTTACAGTTTTGCTGCGCGGAACTGGGGCTATCATGTCAGGGAATCTTCAATTCAAGAGGAGAGCTTAATTTTGGATTTTCTTCACAGCTCAGCCAAGGTATCTGCATGTTACCGGGTTACGGAATACAATCATGGGATTATGATAGCAGGAATGCACCAGGCAGTGTACTTTAAGTTGAAGAAATCGATCTCAGCTCTGCTTAAAGGAAATGCCAATATTGAGGCTAAAGATCAATGTGAGCAGACCCCACTGATATGGGCAGCTAGACTAGGTTTTGAGCAGATAGTCAAGCTGCTGCTTGAAAGAAATGCCAATATTGAGGTTAAAGATAAGAATAGAAAGACTCCACTCTCATGGGCAGCTGAGAATGGTCATGAGCAGGTAGTCAAGCTTCTGCAAAAGGCATCATATTCTCAACCGCCTGTTGACTTCAACATCTCTTCTCTTAATATCTAATCTGTTTACAAGGGTTCTTTTTTTCCTTTCCTTTTCTTGAATCACCCTAAATTGATGTTTACATATCTCCTTCCTGTTTTCTTTCTTCTCTCAGCCGAATTGAACAATATGAGCTTTCCCCATTTTGTACTTAACATGCCCATTGTCCATTACGCTCCGTCCAGGATGTTGAACTTTTGTAGTTGCGGGCAGATGCTACAGAGCACCTACGGAACGCCCGAAGAGCCTTTCTTTCCTTTCTTACATCATTCGTTTCCCTTATTTGTTCCTTCCTCGACTTAAATGAAGCATGTATCTAAGAAACCTCTCTAGAGAAAAGAGAGAGAAGCAACATAGTTATCACAAATTAATCCAGCGCATTGCAAAAGGCTATTCTAACTGTATGGGCCTGAGGCTAGAGGTCATTTAATACCTCCCTGGGTTATGATGGTTATTGCTCAAGCATAAATGCCGCAGCAAAATTATATGATATTCCCTACTCCAGTCGATACTATCGACTTCATGGTCATATAACACAGGTTCGACCCTCGCTCCACCAAAGAACTGGAAATTCAAGTTTCATAAAAGAAGAATCCCTTATTCAATGGTGGGAATGCTTTGGAGAGATTCATCGCGATATCAGTAACGAGCAAAATTTAAAGGGGTTTGGCATGAGTACATCAGGCACTGAAAATGCGAGGGAGGAGAGGGGCAAAGCGCAAGATATTCGTACGAGCCCGTCTTAAATTAGCTCCCGACTAGGGCCTCTACTTTCACATCAACAGAAGTCTCTTCATACAATTATATACTCCGTAAAGTGGCCCGAAATGCGGGCAAAATTGAAACACGCACTTCCATACGCCAAGAAACGGCTAAGCCTTGTCGCTTGTTGGGTATGAGATGCATTGCGCTAGTCCGTAATAGGAATCGAGAGCCCAAACAGCAACCGAAGCTTTGGTTGCGGAGAATAATGCCAGCGCGATTCTGTTTATTCTCACAAAACTTAAAGCATGTTAGAACCCAGCGCAAAGATATCGGGTCTGTAAATTTAGAAAAGTTCTCAGGACAAATGCAGGAGTTGTGTTGGGGCAGTATTTCTGTGCTCTACTTCTGTGTTAGTACTCATTACTATCCCAAGATTTCCTCTGCTCAACTGAAACCAGTTGACCCCGCGCCGCAATCCACTAGCCGAAACAACATCTCCTTTTTCCTCACCAAAAGATGCTCAGAGTCTCGATCCGCCATTTCTCCACCCAGGCACCAAAGCCTGAGACTCGCGCTCACAGGCTCCTGACGATGTCGGGGATCACCTCTCTGGTCGTGGCCCCTTTCATCCCGCCCGCGATCCAGAGCTCGCGCGAAAAGAGGCATGGAAGCCCACATACGAATAAGTTGAGTAGATCAATTTCTATGATGCTTTTGTGTATTTGTCTGGGCTGCTCGCCATTTCATTGCTCACTTTCTCCTTTGCCTTTGGATTGGATTTCTTAAAACAAATATCGGCGATATATATGTTTTGCGAACTATTTATTATTCGCTCTCGATGACAAAACTGACGAGGGACTCGAAAACTTACCCCTTTACCTAGATATCCACCCCTCTGCTTCCATGCCCGCTAGAAAACGCGATTAAAACTATAAATACGTTTTACCGACGGCGTTATCTGTAAAATATACAGAGACCGCCTACGCTTTATGTCTTGACCTAAGCCCTGCTTTTTACCCAGGATGGGAGTGAGTCATTCGGGAACACTTGAGATATGGGATAGCTTCTGTTTTTGCGCATGAAGGCTTGTGGGGCGGCGTTATTGGGTAAATATCTTGCTGCATCTACTCCGTACTTTCTTGTTTTATTTGATTTATATTTATATTTCCTTTTTTTTTTTTTTAATAGATAGTACAAATACCTCAGGTGTTTCGAATACTGGGATGGATTGGGATAGGCATGACTGCTCTCTTTTTCATGGACTTTGGACGCGACCTACGAACCTTTGGGCATAAGAACAAACATGATCAAATTTGGATTTGGAAATGGGTTTTCAAACAAATTAACATTTTCTTCACCTCCGTTAAGATCTGTACAAGGAGGGCTGAGGATTCAGAGTGCGGTTTGATCAAATTTAACCATACAAACTTTTTCCACAATATAATTCAAATAAAAATACACCACATACCTTCCCCAAATGTTTCCAGATAGTCAAGTTTCCAGTTCTATATGACTACCTCCTTTTCCTTGTTTGGCTCTCCTTCCTATTCGCATACGCAGCACTAGTTAACAAAATAAAATGACAAAATGCTTCTCAAAAAAAGAAAAAGAAAAGAAAAGCCTTGTAGTCAGCTCAAAGCCACAAATTCAAAGCCGATTCCCCTTCCTCGACTTATATGCCTCTGCTGCCTCATATTTTCCTTTTTCATCAATCTTCTCCGCCAGCGTTTCGGGTTCATGCCGTGTCGCAGCAGGGTCATGTCCAGCTTCCCGGCTTGGATTGCCCGTGTCATCCGCTTGTGGAGACAAGTTCGCGCGGCCGGCTGAGGGTGAGGAATTTTGTGGCATTGTCATCGACGGTGCGATTGAGGACGGTGATTTTACGGAATTTTCTCTTCGGAGGGCTTCCTCTTTACGTCGTTGGGCTTCTTCGTGTCGGTGGGCGCGGTCGGCGTTTATGGATTTTTTGGCAAAGTAGTAGGCGCCACCGCCGGCTGTGGGGCGAGGAAGAAGACGGGGAGGGAAATGGTTAGAGAAGGAAATGGCTTGGGTTTGGGAGGATTGGAGAGCACAAGCGTAAATGGGGTTTGGATGGAATTACGTACCGATACAGAGGGAGCCCCAGCCCACCCTGTTTGTCGCGCGATAGACATGCCGGTTAGATCCTGTATAGTATTTGCCCAAAAAATGTTGTATGACGTTGGGAAAGCGGCTTGCTGCCCTGGGTACTAGATATGAGGTAGAACGAACCAGGTGGATCTAATCTACATCCAACATTTAGCATTATTAATATACCAGATGATGGGGATTCCGCAACGCACAGTATTCATTTCACTAACTGAGGCCTCTCGGTTGTCTGCTCACTGTTCAATTGAGTGCTAGCAAATTTGGTGTTGCAGTCAACAACAAGAGGAAAAGTCAAGCAACTCTCTGAGGTCTATGCCAACCAATCAGAGATGAGATAGTCTCGTCCATTCAACATTAGTGGTGAAGACCGGTGGCTCAACAACAAATCGAAGGAGTACATAGGACTCTCTTCTGGGCGAATAGCCTTGTAAATGAATATTTATTTGAGTAAATCGCCCGAGCAGAACATTTTCGAACAGTTTCTCCGAATATTATCACGGGACATTAACTCTCATCCATGATGAGTCATCCGCTTGGCGCCTTTGCCGATAACTATCAAACCTGAGCCCAACTGTGAACACTTCAGCGCTTCTTCCTGCGCTGCTGTCAACAACAACCGGTGAAGAGCTCACAGTATTACTATCACCGGTATAAAGCGGTTTCAGAAGCTACTGGCTTTTTCTGAATGTCCACATGGGCCAGTATTTTTGGCTCTGATCCCGGATACTAACCCCTTGTACCAAGTGCTGTCCATTCCCTGTCGTAGCTCGACTTGAGGGTTCGTCGCGGCTTCGCCAGACGTGATTTGCGATAGTATGCCTCCGAAAAGGAAGGCAGCTGGCAGTATGCTTATCCCTTCTTTTCTAGGGTCTGCTTTAACTGTCGCTGACCGGCTATGGTAGGTGGTAATTCCGGACGGGCATCCAAACGATCCACGCCAGTCCCTGTTTCGGCTCCCCAGAGTGTCCGGAGCAGCGATGAGTACTCAGACCCTGGGGTTGCGGACGATGATGAATATGATGGCGATAGGCTGAAACGTGAGTCGAGAGTTTGCCCATAGGAAATTTTGTTGATTACAGCTTGTATTGCGTTGCTAAAGAAATGAAAACTTGTCCAATGCAGAGGTTGTCGAGAAATTTTCTCTTCAGGCCTTTAGTCAAAAGAAGAAAGCGGACATCCAACGACAGGATCCACATTTCGGCTATAAAGACTTCTCATCCTTGCCTTTGAAGCCCGACCACGCTAACCGACCGCTATGGATCGAGCCGTTGAAGGGCACCATCACGCTGGAAAGCTTCTCACCTCTAGCGCCCCAGGCACAAGATTTCCTTACGACGATAGCTGAGCCTCTGTCAAGACCTACGCATTTGCACGAGTATCGATTAACGGGAAACAGTCTTTATGCTGCGGTCTCAGTGGGCTTACTACCGGGAGATATCATTAACTTCCTGGATCGTTTGTCCAAAACGCCGCTACCGGAAACAATCAAGTCTTTCATTGTCAATTTCACCAAGTCGTATGGAAAGATAAAAGTTGTTTTGAAATACAATAGATTCTTTGTGGAGAGCTCGGATCCTGCCACTCTGCAGATGTTGCTTCAAGATGAAGTTATTGGGCCGCAGAGATTGCAAAACTCGGAGGGTATAATACAGCAGGCTGCTCCCAAAATGGCAGGGTTGGTCATTCCCGGAACTAAGGATGCGGCTGGGGTGAAACAAAATCCAGACCGAAAGCCAATGGAGGGAGATACAAATGGTCGCCCAAAAGAGGATGGCCTCTTGGTTGATTTGAGAGAAGAGGATGATGACGACGAGCCCAGCACAAGTCCACAGTTTTGAGATCCCAAACACGGCCGTGGAATCTGTTAAGGCTCGATGCCAAAGTATGGGCTGTCCAGCTCTTGAAGAATATGACTTTAGAAACGATGAAATCAACCCTACTCTAGATATCGACCTGAAGCCCAATGCGCAAATCCGCAGTTACCAAGAGAAAAGTTTGAGTAAAATGTTTGGAAACGGACGAGCCAAGAGTGGAATCATCGTCCTGCCTTGCGGTGCAGGGAAAACCTTAGTTGGCATAACAGCCGCCTGTACCATCAAGAAAGGAACCATTATCCTTTGCACTAGCTCGATGTCCGTTGTTCAGTGGAGGAACGAATTTCTTCGGTGGTCTAATATTGATCCTAGTGATATTGCCGTTTTCACTTCTGACAACAAGGAAAAATTCCGGAGAAATACTGGAATTATAGTCTCCACATATTCCATGGTATCTCAAACACGGGCTCGTTCCCACGATGCGGAGAAAATGATGGATTGGATGCAATCTCGGGAATGGGGCTTGATGATCTTGGACGAGGTCCACGTCGTTCCCGCGTCGATGTTCCGGAAGGTCACTTCGGCCATTGCGACTCAGACCAAACTTGGGCTCACAGCGACTCTTCTTCGTGAGGATGATAAGATCAAGGATTTGAATTTTTTGATCGGCCCCAAGTTGTATGAAGCCAACTGGATGGAGTTGGCTGAACAGGGCCACATCGCCAAAGTCCAGTGTGCTGAGGTGTGGTGCCCCATGACAACGGAATTTTATACCGAGTACATGCGCGAGAAATCTAGAAAAGCAGCGTTACTCTATATCATGAATCCGAGGAAGTTCCAGGCGTGTCAGTTTTTGATTGATTACCACGAAAAGCGTGGAGACAAAGTCATTGTTTTCTCTGACAATGTTTACGCTCTCGAACGATATGCCCTGAAATTGAACAAGGCCTACATCTACGGCGGAACGCCTCAAAACGAACGATTGCGAATTCTAGAGAACTTCCAGCACAATGAACAAGTCAATACAATCTTCCTGTCCAAGATTGGTGATACCTCGCTAGATCTGCCTGAAGCGACTTGCTTGATACAGATCTCGTCACATTACGGCTCTCGTCGTCAGGAAGCGCAACGTCTCGGACGTATCCTACGTGCCAAACGAAGGAATGATGAGGGATTCAACGCTTTCTTCTACTCCCTTGTATCGAAAGATACCGACGAGATGTTTTACTCTTCCAAACGTCAAGCTTTCTTAGTTGACCAGGGATACGCGTTTAAGGTGATCACGCACCTTGAAGGAATTGAGAACCTTGAAGGACTCGCATACGCAACTCCGACGGAGCGTCGAGAACTTCTGCAAGAAGTCATGCTGCAGAACGAAACCTCCGCAGCTGTAGAAGAAGTAGTGGACGATCTTTTCAGCGAACGCTCAGGGGGACCGAAAGCGCGAGGTGCGGCCAAGAAAGTTGCAGTGAAACGTAGTGCGGCGACTTTGAGCGGCCTTGCCGGCGGTGAGGACATGGCGTATATCGAATATAATAAAAGTAGGAATAAACAGTTGAAGGAGAAGGTGGGACATCACCCGCTATTCAAGAAAATTGAGCGCGACCGACTGAAGAGAAAAAAAGCTCTTGGCCTCGATAAAAAGTAGATTTGGGAACGTATTTTCTTGGGTTTTCTTGTTTTTGGTCCATTTCTATTTCTTCTAGATTCCTGACGACAGCTCCAGTCTGCCTGCTTGGATCTATGATGGGATGCCAGGGAATGAATCCGATGAACATACGAGATATGACTAGGTTTATCCTGCCTGTTGATGGTATGTATGTACAGTACATGTATTAACAATAGAGTCGATAAAATTGAAGCCTTTGTATATCCTGCACCTTCATTCATATCTACAGCATTGAAATGCGTAGTAAACTAGCTCCGGCCTCGTACTGTCTGACAGTGCAACATCGATGAACTACATGTAACTACTCCAGCAAGCCGCCAACCAGCGCATCCATGGATCGATTACTGACTTTGAGGAGCACAAGCATCCTCCATCATCATAAATGAGTTCGTTTCCGCCACACGGCGCATGCATCGATTTATTTTATACTAGTATGTTTACTCATCGAACATAAATCGAGAATCGGTCATTCGTATGTACACGCACAGTACATCCTTTGTGTGGAACAACTCGCTGACATCAACAACAATACCCGTTGGGCTTCACAGCTCGTCTGCGAGTAGCTGTGAAGTACCAAGCGATGGAGCTATGACGGAATGGCTGGCTCGTGTCCTTGGTTTCAACGACCCCTCCACACCGTTTAGCTTGGCTGCATCCAACTTAACCACACATATATAAACAGGCTCACTGTGCGGATCTCGAGGGTCGTATGGAGAAGCTGCAGAACGAGAGCGCGGCGGTTTGATACATTATTTGCCTATGACCAGTGTTGCTCAACGGTATCGACACCAAGTAGCTAGATGTATGCTTTGTTGTGCCCACATACCAACCCGAGCATTCCGAAGAGCGCAACGGGGAACTGTGTATCAAGATAGAAGCTTGGGCCCTGGTCCGCCTAAAGCAGTGACTCAGATAGCGAAGAGAGAGCCGTTTTTTTCTCCAAAATCCAAGTCGTGTTTCACTCCCGCGCTCTCCAAGGAAAACTTGAAGCTTGACTTGTGTCTAAGAGCCATGGCGACCGCCACTCATATCAAGGTTTCGACAGACAATACGGGGATTCTAGGGCTTCGCCAGAACGCCGATTCTGCAAAAAAGGTTTCAGAAACGCTACAGGCGGATCTAGAGAGATACCATATCTTCTTTAACACGAAGGGTTTTCACAGTATGTGTGGTTCTTTGAATTTGCAGCTCAACTTTTCTCCCAAGTCCTGCCCGCTTGTCAAAATTGATATGCAAGCCCCTCATGTTACATTGAGCATTGTTATATTTTCATGTCAGAGACAAAATGAGTCGATGGGCCACTCGGGAGACACCCCGCCAGTTTACATACCCTGGTCCTAATGGATATGCAACCGTCCCATCACCCCACATTCCGCCCTACTCCTGTTACTAGGGTCTTGAGCTTTAATCCTATCCGCTGATGCTAACCTGAGGCAGATCATCTTGCCCACCACATTTTATCCGCCTACGCATTGGGAGCCTCCGCAGACCTTCTACAGCAGATTTTTGACCGGGCTGCTGCCTACCAGCTTCCTTCTCGCCCAGTCGATGAAGCGATAGTACAGAAACTGGGCGACAAGGCCCAATTTAGTGCTCTCCTAGGAATTCAAGATCAATATCCTAATTTCCTGGTGTATTTTTCAGCGCCAAATTGAAAAGAGGGGGATGGAAGTAGTGGTAAATGAGTATCTTTTTGCTGCGGATAAGCTTGCGGATGATATGCTCGTTCGGCTGTTTGCTGGTATGGCGCCCGGGGAGTTTCGCTCTCATCCACCCGTTTCCCTGTCTGACCCCTCTGTTCCGGGACATACTAATGAACACGCTCCCCTTACAGGGCTCATTCATCCGTTTATCCAACTCGGATTCGGCGTTGAGTTCAATCAGCCTGCCATTGTCGCAGAAGCTCTTGCGGAAACTGCGGTTCATGAATCGAATCTTACATTCCTCTTGCCAGCTGAAGAGGCAGCAGGTGGCGTTGGGAAGGAGGGCAAGAAGTCTCTCGTTCATCTCCAGCAAGAAATTCGCTCCAACACCCAAATCCGGAAAGCCGTGCGCTGGGAAGATGTGAACAAGATCGATGGAATGCTGGCTCGAGCGCTAGACGAGATCATCAAAATTACTAGCCAATTTTCAGTGGGCCCAGACCAGTTGGAACTGAAGCTAGCCGAACTGTTGAACGCTGTTGGTACGTTGACACCCTGATCTCCAGACACAACCATATTGCCCCTACTACTCTCAATGCTCCCATCCCATTGCATAGAGGCCATCCATCAACATTCCTGCGTGCCTGCATGCGCCCCTGGCTCATCAGTAATGTTTTCCCTGTTGTTCTTCCCCCACTGGCCCGGTACATAGTAACTCAACAATCAACAGCTTATTTCGCTGGCGCAGCGCAGCGTCCTCAAAAGAGGGTTAAATTCGACTTTTTTTACATGCACTGTGTCACCAGCGCAATTTTCTTGGCTTCATTTGTCTCTCAGTCCTGGATCAGTAAGCAAAACAAATTACGCATCCTGGAATGGAAAGGTCGTATGGACCTGGCGACGTACGCCTCTCGCGGTGCAGCGGAGCTACGACAGGAGGAGATTACAGACTATGAGCCAAAGCTGTCGTGGGAGGAAGTTTTCGCCCAAGCCATTAATCATCCTCAAGATGACGGACATGCCTCAAAATTCATCCGCACACTTGCTTTTGGCGAGAAGCTTTGTAAACCGTTTGAGGAGGATGAGAAGTGTCGAGAGGCGTTCTTAGTCAACGGAGATATGTGGATCAAGTTAGCGAACATGGGTGAGTTCCTTCAGTCCAAATTTTTGAGACTCGGACTCTTCAACTCGCTCGCGCCTCGTGCATTTTTTGCAAGTGCATTTTGTCCTGGATTCATTATTTCAATATTATCTCCGTGTCTTGACCTTTCTAAACCCTGATTTGCCCCCCCCCCGCCTACCTCACCCTGAAGTTACATCGCGACAAACCAGCGCTCGCTCTGGTCATCGCCCATTTGAACTAGAGTCTTGCCCCTGTCTACCCGAAATGGCCAAAGTTCCAGAACCTCTCACTGGGACCAGAGAGCCAGAGACGAATAAAAAACAAAACATATTTTAATACCCGAGCGCCCAAATCCGAACCCCATTCTCCACGTTTCCCTCCTAACAAGCCTGTTTGTTCCTGAACTCCCAAGGCCCGGTTTTTCATCTAGCCTTATCCTCTCAGCTCACTCCCCTGCACAACTAACAACTACCGCGTTCTTCATCCATGAATCCTGGGACTGGATGGCCAACACTAAAATTAATAATAGTACTAACCACAAAACACCAATTTGAATATTTGCAAAAGAAAAAAAAAGAAAAGGAAAAAATTGCTAACATGCGCCTCTCTCTGGTATAGTTATCGATTCGATCCAGGACAACCAGATGTGGATTCGTCATGTTGGGGATGACCGGGCGTGGGAGGGGGTTGCAGATAGATAAGGCCACGGACCTCTGTCCGTTCTAGACGTCGACTGGGTTGCGAGAAAATTATCTTTGGTTTCATTTTTTTTTTTTTTTTTCCCCTGGGACTTTGATATGGGTAGCATCCATGGATATGGGAACAGGGGAATGAATGAGTCTTAATTTCCCTCGTAATTCCACTTGAGACCTCGACTGCGAACAAATTTGCTAGCTACTCTTGATTAATTATTTATTCTGTAGTAAATAGTTATGCTGTTCTTGTGAACGAATCAAATTTTTTACATCTTTGAATCTCCCAACTCTTCCATGCGATGATATCAACGGTGGTTGGTCTTGACGAAATCCTTTTTACTCTTCCTTCCCCCGGCTCTTATAGAGACGAAGATTTTTACTTGTAGTTAGAAAGGTTGGCGAGTTGATAGAGTAACGAAGGTATATACATATACAGAACATTGGAAGACCAAATAGATCAGTTTATATGGTTATGGTTATATGATTGATAGAGTAAACGAGCGTATATCGGTATTAGTACAGAACGAAGAGAGAATAAAATGACTAGAGCGAGCACCAAAAAGTAAACGAACGTTGATTCTATGTTCCTCATATACCACCATCCCACGCCGTCCAAAATAAAGTAAACGAACAGGCCTCTTCTTTTGAAAGGAGACAGAAGACAAGTGGCACGATCCAAGCATTGCGTACGACACATAGAACACCGGCCTATTGGTAATTGCGCCGGCAAATGATGACAATGGAAAGGCTAGCAGAAATAGAGAGCAAGGACATGAAAGGGAAGGGGATATCGTTGCAGCACAATACGACTTTGAAATGGCAATGCAATAAGGGAAAACAAATTCAACTAGGCCTGTTAGGGGAGGGAGGGGATATCAAAGGTAGGAGTGGGACCTATCCCTGCCCACCTTTGTATCTACATGGAGTAGTGATAATAGCTACATTGATACATCGTACCATAATTGTACCTCGGGCGTGATTTCGATTTAGAAGAATGGAGCGAGCCTGAACGTTACATATCAGAAGTTAAGAAATTGACATGCTATATATGAAAAAGTTAGGTGTCTCCGGCGAAAAGGTTTTCTTACTCGTATCAGGTTTCCGCTCGGAGTCTGGAGTCGAGGTCGAAGTCCTCGATTTATCTTCAGTTATCGAGCCAGCCGGTTTGTTTTTTAGGATTCGTTTTCGGAATCCAGATTTCAGCAACGAACCCTTCCGGCTACCTCCAGAGCTGGACTCAGTCCTCGTAGGACTTTTGGCGCGTGTTGAAATGGTATCCATGAGGGAAGGAGACATCAGGGATGGGGATGTTGCTTCAGTCTGAGAGAGCTCAGAGACGCTGCGACGGGACTCATTGGAAGATCGGCTGAGGGAAATAGACTCTTCTGTTCGAGAGCTGTCTTCGATTTTAGAGTGGTTGACTGTTTCTGGAGGGCTGATGTCAGGTGTTGGGGATTCGTCAAGCGGTGGATCAGGAGTGTCTGCCGTGAGGTAATCATTCAAGTTGTTTCTAGATGGTTCACGATAGTTCTGCGCAGAAGACCGAAGGCCCGCCATTTCACAACGTCTACATGAATTCACAGCAAGTTCTAGCACTTTAACTTTATCGGCGAGCTGCTTTCGTGCGAGTTTGGTGTCATCGGAATCAGCTGCAATGAGTTCAATTTGTTCAGTTGACAATTGTGCCATCATAGATGGAGAGAGAAGGTTTTCAAGGTTTTCCACGAGACAATTTTCCACAGCAAGAAAAGCGACGTTGTCAATGAATACTGGTAATGCGGCGGAGTAATAAGTTTCCATACAATCGAGAATTTCAGAATAAACATTGATATCAGCGCCGTCTTCCAGATTATCGTCCATGCCATTTGGGCCACTTATGGCGCGAAGCCGATGAATTTTCGCAGCCAATTTTCGATTCAGGGTTGACGGAACAACTTGCTTAAAGGGTGTTGCTAATTCGTCTATTTTGCTGTTAAGTGCCTGCAATTTATTGCTCATTTCCTGCTCCAGTATTTCCCTGAGTATGGCTTCGCCAACGGTTGCTCCCGCGATATGATGAAGAAGATCATCCAGGAACCGCTTTACTTTTTTCCATAGTTCGTATACATGGGATTTCGCCATCGGAGTCCACTTGAGAGAATAACGAATAAATAGTTCGCATACAACCTGAGAATTAACCAATCCTTTTGTTTCACGGCCTCCGTTTTGCTTGAAAAGTTCGGCAAGTCCACGGATAAAGGATGATCGTGGAACTGGCTGAGGGCTATCCGGAGAAGCTGGCTCCGGCATTGGCGGTGGGCCATCTGAGGTTGTGTCGTCATACAAGTTATAGCTATGGCCACGTTCCTCCATATCTGTAGCAAAATCTTCCGCCCAATTTCGGATTACGGATCTTAATCGTCGCATAGAGGTTTGCGGGTGATAACGGAAATAGGTATCGTGATATTCACCAGCCGTGGCTGATATTGTGAGGGCTTGAAATCGTTCGGCTATAGTAGTTAGATAAAGTCGCTGAGCTGTATCCGATTTCCGGTCCGGTCCAAGTTTTTTGAGTAAGAGGCGGCTAGTTTCGAGGTCTTGTTGAAGTTCGGTAGACAGATCCGAAAGCTGCGACTCAATTTGCCCAAGTAGAATTTTGCCCAGTCTACTTCTAAGTGATTGAATGCCCACACAGTTTTGAGAAAGGGTTTTCCAAGGCATTGTGGTGGTGAAAAACAAATTTTCCATGTCATCCCGTTGAAAATGGCGGTTTCTCTTCTCGTTAGAATCGTTGTTCACAAGAACGTGCCATCCTAAACGCAGAGGTGTATCTTGGTTCTTAGCACGCGCAAAATAGTTTTCCTCAATGCTACAGCCGGGTTCTAGGTGATCTGGCTTCGTTATGATTGCCATTGTGCGAGGACTGCAAGACTTCGTCATGCGCAACACGATTTGCTGAGATATATTACGCTCAGCAGACACAACAACCAGGACGATGCTTCGAGGGTTCCGCATGTAAGCTTCAGTTAAACCTTGCACAAGAGTGACATCTTCCATTCTTTGATGGTGCCCTGGTCTATTGATAAGGCCAGGCAGGTCAACCACGGTCAGGTCTGGCAAGGTAGGGCCTGAAGCTTCCAGTTGTAGGACATCCAATGAGTACCTTCCATCCGAAATTAAGCCCATTATGAGCCTGGCCTCCGAATAAAGCTTGGGGATGTCTTGAAGCCAGTTATGTGACCTCGAGAATATTCCTAGTTTGTGTCGATGGTCCGGAGTGGCATCCGGGCCGGGTCGGATTTTCACGGAAACTGAAACTTCATCGGACCTCCGAAGGATAACTTCTGTTGCAAACCTGGTGCAGAGTCCAGTGCTAGTTGGCAATGGGACACCTGTTATGGCGTGGAATACTGAACTCTTCCCACTATTTTGGTCACCACAAACCACCAACTGCGGTAGAGCCAGTTGGCGGCGAAACCCCAAATCGCGAAGGTCATCCAGTCTGGCAAGCAATTCTGCTTGCCCCTTGGATTCAAGTCGATGGATAGGAAGAGGGCCGAAAGGATCCATATTTCAGTTAAGGCCCGTTGGGCGACTTAGAGAGAGTCAAAAATGCACAGGCCATAGGCCTTGGAGAGGATCGCATGAAATGACAACGAGAGCAGTTGCGGAAGACCACGAAAATAAAAGAAGGGTGGACACAGCAATATTATAGATCGCGGAGCACATGAGAAGCGAAAGATAAGGAGGACAGGGATGCTTCATCCCAGCAGAAGCCGAGGACGTAAGGACGCTAAACGCAAGGCCCAAAAGCTGAGGGCTGTCTGAGGTTTCTTCCAAGTCCTCCATCACCAAAGGCTAAAATCTTACTGAACGGCACGCAAGTGGCACAACGAGGGGGAAATCGTGAACACTCGTTAAAGAGTGCATTTCGACCCTTGAGGATCAGCAGGGATTATTCATCCCAGGTGCAAGGATAGCACACTGGGAAGCCCAACCTTCCAGAAATATTCGAGAGCTGGGGAAAAATACCACCCCTCTCCACTCTCACGACTGACCAGGCTGGGGTTGTGGGGAGAGGGGTGAGTGATTCACTTGCCAGGATGCAGCAACAGGGATAAGACGTACTTGTGGCGCAACCCAGCCATTTCGCTTGGAGCAATCTATAAATTGCCGTGGGCGGATGGAGACATCAATGCAGCGAGGAGACAAAACGCCTTGGCTTGGGTAATCTCGCTGGCTGGCGGCTGAGGTCGGAGAAGAACGTAGTCTAATATTTCCTAATCGGGACAATGTGGCTTGGCTAAACCAGGTGATTCGGCTCCCATGGATTAATAAGCATCCCAGCCTTGGCTGCTTGTGGGGCGACTTTTTCGCTCCGGAAAAACTCTGATCCCGCGAACCCAACGACCTCATCGTCGTCCTCAGCAGCATGAATGTTGCTGTGATTCAACCTCCAAGTGAATCTGCGCTACGCAACAGCACCAGGCAACGCCTAATTCTTAGCGTATAATTTGACGATTACTTAATTTTATATTCCATTCTATTTGATACTGAATCGCGGGTGTGGTGATGGCGGACTCTACTGACCGCGGTCGCTCCCATACAGCTAACCCTTCCAACGGACCCCGCCAGCCCAACGAACAAGAGAACCCATTTATAGCAATTCGCCGCTATGCTGATGAGCAATTCTCAGCATTACTGCAATCTTTTATAGGACTTCCATCTGTGTTTTCACCTCCCTCTCCAAGGGATTGGTTGTATTTCCAAGGAGGCGATCCCGCAATAAGATTCCATCGTCACAGATTCCAAACACAAGAAACTGGCGTTGATACTCAGGACTCACAGTCAAGGATCGGCTCACGTCAGAGCTCCGAGAAGTGCGCCTGTGGGCGTGATGATACCGTGAAATCGTCGCGCTCTGATGGGGATGGCATGTTTGATCAGCGGTGGTTAGAAAGCCGACGACATTTTGAGCACCAATTTCCGTCTTCGATTTTTGAATCGCCGTTGGAGAACTTGTGGCCCTTTGACCCGTTGCATTTCTTCTCGTTTCTACCCCGTCCTAGCTTCCCTTATTCCTTCGACTTCCTCGGCTCTCCAAGCTCTCCGGGATGGCCCATCTCGTACCTTCTTTTTTCACCGTATTCTCCACTCCACCTCGAACGTCAACAAAATATAAGATGCAAGCCACATGAGAATCCAATTTCTTCACTGCGCCCTGCCTTAGTACCCTTTCATGATGCCCAGGAGCCTGAGACCCCACGTTGGCGAGAGGCTTTTGAAGATCTGTTGCGCGTCGAAAATGGTCAAGATATGTTAAATGGTGACGTAGGTGCGGTGGCCCGAAAAGAACAGCCAAAGGATTGGGTATCCGGTATGATCAGCAGGGGCAGCCTTGGTCCGCATTGGACGCATGTCAAAAACGGACGAATCGACTATTTCAACTACACATACAAGCAGTCCACTGATGAAGCAGATAAATGGAAGGTTTCCCAGTCCGACTCTTCCAACGGGTATGGTGATCGGAAACACGATGCGCCGGAAGAAAAGTGGCTCACAGAACTTGACCTTTACGAGAAGTTTCTGGACCAGGCGAACGAGCCATCGGATGAAGAGAGTATACCCTTAGTGAGTCCACTCATGGGGATGTTAATTGAAGGTCGCCTAGGAAGAAGAAGGCTATTGGACGAACAAAGGCGATGGCATCATGCGGCTGAGAATAATGATTTCGACAATGAGAAGGGTGACTCAGACGCAAAGTCCAATGCAGCATCCCCTATGAAAACTTCACAGCAACATTCCCCTTCTCCTTATGTAACTTCCATCATCACCACCACCGCGCGAAGGACTCTCCCCGATGGCTCTGTCCAGACTACCATCACTCGAAAGAAGCGGTTTTCTGACCAAACAGAAGAAAACAATGAAACAGTTCACGTGGAGAAGGCTGACGAATTGCCGTCACAAAGCGAGAACAACAAACCACAGAGCCTTGGACAGACTAATGATCATGGTGGCCAGAAGAAGGGTGGCTGGTTCTGGAAGGATTAATGCATGTCCACTTTTCTCCATCTGTTTGCTTATTCAAGTTCTTGGGACTAGTGGCCACGCCGTCTGCATGTTGTGATCACAGCTTCTTTAGGCTCCCTTTTACTGTCGTTTCTATTTTGTATTTTGATATTTAGCTTTGATGATAATTAATGTTGGCAGTTGGTATTTTACGATATTTTGAGTTTCACTTGGTTGTTTGTTGTACTTGCTCTGTGTACTGTAGTTTATTCCTTGCCAATTTGAACATCCTTGGATTAACGCTTGTGAAACGTTGAGAGGAGCAGATTGTACAGGCATACGCATCTGAGTACAACCGTCCGTTTTTAAATCCGAATATGGTATAGCTCATTGTTCCATCACAACAGAATTCTCTCCATACATATCATTGTATTTTCAACTCAAACTCAATAGAGCCCTCAACGACGCCATCGCGCCAAACTCTTAGCCCGCATGTATTGAAATATTCCTAGCCTGGTACAGACTTTACCCATTTGTCGCATCTGCTTGCTGCGCAGTTTCTCCGCAAGTTTCTCCGCAAGACGATTCTGATATATGCTATGTACTGTACAGTACATACATAGAGATAAGCTGTTTGCACTACAAAAAATTCCCAGTGTGTATGAAGTCCGCGGAATTTTGGGGCGCGCCTGGAATTTTTCTTTCCTTGAAAGATCTTTTTGTAGGTCAAGAAAGAAGGAGATTTAACAGGTTTTTTGACTGAAAGTGGAGAATATGCAAGCCTCATAAAACAAAGCACTCAAGGCATACATAATACCATACGGAGCTTCGGGTTTCAAAAAGTTTCATTTCAAGCACTAAAAACGCGCCGCGACTCTTCTCCATATCGCCCATAAGTCCCATCCTGCAGAACATTCTTGTAATTTTAGGGACTTTTATTCACCCGTTTTATCAAAAGCCTGGAGGATAGCATGGTCGGATTAACGCTGGAAGATCTTGATTAGTGATGAAGATACTTGAAGATACATTACTGTATCTCTGCCTCCATACAATTCCAGCATCTGCCATTGTCGAGAAGATGAATCCTGATCAGGTTCAACAAGGTACATACCCTGAGTGGCATTGCGAATGGCTGCCAGTCGGTTAATGCTGAACAGACAGACACGAGCGATATCCTGTCGAGAAGTACGCAGAAGGGGAGACATGATTATCTTGATGGTTATGACAGCAGCGAGCGCGAAGCAATGCAGGAGAACTGGAACACTATCTTTGACAAAAGTATGGAAGATGGCTGGTGATCTCTACCTCCTTTCATGGACAGGGTGAGATCCTTTGTTCAAGGTCAAGGAAAATGTATATTTTCACATTGAATATTAATGCTACAGGCCTGATGATGAATGTTTAGCTACAATTGTATTGAATCAATAGAAGGGGTATTTTGGAGGTCAAGAGCTCTTCGGTGTTGCCCACATTCTCTGCACCTCTGGCAAACCCCATCTTTGCATCCACTCGCATCCCACTACATCCTCAATCGTGGCCCTTTTGCTTGGCTCAAGAACCAACATTGACTTTATCATGTCACAGAATGCATTCTCCTCCTCAGTCGAAAAGGCGTCAAAACTCTTCCTTTCCCTTGGGTGCTGTATATTATTCCCTGAACCTCCGGGTCATGTCCCTAGTGCTGTTGCTGTACCATTGACGAAGTGTTTCTTTCACATCCTTGCGTCCATCTTCATCGAACCAATTATTTCTTTCCTCCCACTTGCTCCACCACCGATCAGGAAGTTTACCAAGCATCTCAACATGCTCAATTGTAACTTCATTCAACGTGACAGGGAAGGCTTCAAAGGGCGGCCCAGATCCAAAAACATCCCAGATAGTGCATGCAAGAGTCCATATATCTCCCGGGAAAGAAAGAGGCTCAACTAGAGACTCTGCGAAGCGAGATTCTGGTGGTGCAAGCAAGAGTGGTGTTGAGTGGTGAGCTGCTTTGTCACTTGAGGATCAAAAGCTTCTCCAAAATCTGCAATCATATAATGACAGAGTCCTGCAGGGAAATCTCATCACTGCTGAGTCCAAGCCAAACTGAGACAATGACTTCTGAAGGAACTCCTGGATCAAGGGGAGCACCATCCTCACGAACAATCTGCATTTTTGCTGGTTCGCCGGTTCTAGCATGTAGCTGCTCAAGTGTCATGTCTTGCATATCAAGTGACAAGTGAAGAAGGATATTTGCAAGGTGAAGATCTGCAGCCATGTTTAAATTGGATTTTACCCTGAAGTGAAGTGATGAGAAGGGGTTGTAACATGGTAAACATACCACCATGAACAATACCTTGAGAATGGATAAATTGCAGACCAAGGATAAGTAGTGATGCAATGGCTCGAGCAGCGGGGAGGTGGAGGAGTCGATGATATGCAGCATCCTTTGCTTCATGGATACTGATTCTAGCAGCATCCGTTACCAAGCACTGATGGGTGCCATTTGGCCCAGAGAATTTGAAAGAATTGAGCAGATTCTGTACAATAGCTTTCCCAGGGAGCCCAGATTTAGCCCTATCTAACTGTGAAAGAATCTGTATCTCATGAGTCCGGCCAGCTGCTTCTGCAGTGGAGAGCTTGAGGGCTACAAGTCGGCCTTGCTTTCTATCCTCCGCCAGCCAGGTTGTAGCAGACCGACCGAACCCCAGTTTATGAGTGATAACATATCGACCTGTGCATAGTTCATCACCAATTGCGACTGGATGGTAGCCTCCGGGAACATAATAGTCCAAGCGCTCAACTTCTTCCACAAAGTTGTACTTGACTCTGCTGGGTTCCATGCGTGTTGCTATACGTCTATGAGTGTGTGAAATGGAGAGCTGTGTCTGTCGGCCAGACAGTGTGGGCGCAAATGGCCTGATGCTGTGAAATCGCAGAAGCGCGTTGGGTTGCGATATGTGGGTAACTCCAGCCGGGGTACCACGGTCCCAGGAATAACAATAATCCGACCTTGCTGTGGAATTGTCACCTGCAGGCGCCCTCGTTGCTTTCTTCTACGTGCTCGCAAGGCCTTTCCGTACCCATTGTTGAGGATGTGCGCTCAGGGCCATCGGATCCACCATAGCTCCGCAGGGCAAGGCCCCTAATCAAGGACTTCGGTCACTTTTCTGCTTTTGGAAGGCTTCAGCAGTAAGGTGCGGATTATCACATGCTGGTTGTAAGAAGTGTGACAGTGTACTCCGTATGCAGGCCTTGTGATACATCGCTTAGCTCTGCAGGGGGCTAGACACATGGCCAAACAAAGCCCAAGGACAGCACAAGTGAACCTAACTGAGTTTGATTTTGGTGGTGAGTTGCAACATATTTATGTTGGATATGCCACCTCTGATACAGACAGCAAGCAGTGAAACCCCACTTCATGAGCTGCGGTCTCTCAATATTCTACTCCTAGCCTTGCGCCATGTCGACCCTGAATGCAGTCAAGTTCTGTTTCTTGAATCAACCTAGCGCCCAAATCATTCGACAATACATAGCTATCGCATATCAAATTTCGACTGACCAAAAGTTATGTCCAAAGGTCGTCCTCATTCGGTGAGATATAGAAAGCAAGCAGACATTAGGTTCTATTGGGGGATATACTACTAACTTTCAATAAACTGCCAGCTCGGGCATTCACCCAACGACCACAATCGACGGCAAGTATCAGAAGGATCAAAACGGCGACCAATCTGACACTTTGCTTCAAGGATGAAAGAATGCTGGAAAAAGGAACATATGTTGCCAGCCATGGATATGTGGTGTCGGAAGACTGATTGGAATATTCGCGAAGCCACTCATTCCGCGGAGAAGCCAGACTCAACGACCATGATACGGAACGGGCGTCCCGTATGGCCATCCGGAGAGGCGTTTCAATATGAGATTGAAGTCGCTTTCGGCCATGTGCCAGAAGAACCTGAGATCAATCCAAGATCAATCCAAGGGTCAAGGGATCTGAGCAGTAAATAAGGCCAATATTCTTGAAGTATCAATCTAGTGTCTACTTTGGACGAACCCTTGCTTAAATCTCCTCAACTGTCAGGCCTGCATGGCGAAAATGGCCCTTGCTTTCTCTCTTGCATCCACAGTTGTTTGCAAAGCCAGCTTGACAGTTTCGCGCCAAGATCTACTAGTGCTAATATGGCTAGTAACAATACAGTAATTCACGGTATTGTCACAATGTGCTGTACAGCGTATGTCACTATACGGCGTAGGCTGCCGCAGTTGGGTTTGAGTTTGGGAAGCAGACGCCTGTCGACCGGTGGCCCTGCAGCCCCTGCTAGCGGAAGGCTTAAACTTATCACTTGCTGAGTCTGGATTGCTGGTTGGAGACATGTACTCCGTATACCACCAGGCCGTCAGCATCAGCGCACACCTCACAGAGGCGACGAGTGACGCCTCCTGTTTCATATCGGCAATGTTGCGCCTCGGTGCCTGGAGAACTGTCTGTGTTGATCCTATGATTTGCCAAAGAGCGCCCGTTGAAGAGCAAAGCTTGGATGCCACCTCCAACTCTCCCTCGCTTGCAGGTATGACCAACCCCGCCATCCCCTTTTGCATAATCCGGCGAATCATCGTCATGCCGCATGTCGTTGTGAACAGATCCAGCTCTTTGCATATCCCGAAGCCTCCGCCTGACTGACGTTTTCCCCGCTTCTGGAGTCGATGTTCGAGACACGCCCGCACCGCGAAAACTGGAACGGGACACTTGCATGTGTCGCCGTCTTACGGAGTAGTCTGTTTTTCTTTTCTCCGATAAATCCTTCGCCGACGCGGCACTTCGTAAAGTAAAGCGATCAGTTTGTGGCTGTGGATGCATTCTCTTACACAGCCTGGCGACAGATGAATGTTTGAGGCAATCAATGAGCCCTTTGGCAGCGAACAGATTGTAATGTACAGATGTACAGAGTGCTGTAGATGTAAATGTACGGGACGTGCTTATCAACAGAATCCAGGTCTCTTCGATCGCTGCACCTGCTCCAAGCTTCCGCCGCGGTAGTGGCTTACACCTCTTAAAAAGACCGGAATTGTGTGATACGAGAACTCCGGGAACTTCAGCCAGCCCAAGATTGATGCATGGATCTTGACACCTTTCTCAAAACGTTTTGGGGATTCTAATGAACCTCTCACAGGATGGTTCCATCTTCAATACAGCAAAGATTTTTGCTGCAACTGGTGATATGATGATTGGGAAATGCTGTCCAAGATGTCCCTCTTAACCCGAGGGCGGCCAACCCACGTTCCCCTGGTGTAGAATCGGAATTCCTAACTCGTTTAGTCTAGCAGGGCATCCTTTCCAACTCGAGAGCTATCCGATTTGGCATTTCGACTATCTTGTGCCCGACTCGTAGCTGCAATCGAACACTGCGCGCGTATACAGAACGGTGGACGACCGCCGTTGCGAATGCCGAGGTCAATCATTCCGCTGAGTCATCGTCTGCTGTGGGGGAAGAATCGCGCATCCCGACTATGACTTCAGCGGTTTTCTGCTTTACCGGCTGAAGCTGCTGGGGAAAGAGATCACAGATAATCCCTTTTCTTCACCCGGTGCAGGCAGCCACAGCTATGTCCTCCGCTTTCCCTGACGCTGTCGCTGATATCCCCACACCCCCGCATGTCCATCTAGATTCCATGCTCTCCCGCAAATTCGGCAAGGAGACAGTGAACTATTTTTCGGGCAAGTAGTTATATCTCCTGACCCTTTTCTATCTCCGTAACGAAACTATATATAGGTTTTATCCTAATATCCCCCCTTGCAGGTTCGCTTTTAAACCGGGTATCATTCCTCCGAACAGATGGCGCTTTCTTATCAGCAGCGATACGACACCCAACAACACGCTTTCTACTCTTCAACGACCTCAACCCCCTTGTTCGCAGCCCTTCAGAAATCTTCTATGCTTCGTACAATGATGTCAAGACCCTCATTCCCGAAGACGTCTTCGACAAGACCGAAGCAGATGCTCTCAAAGACTTCCAGCCCTCCATCACAACCCCGCTCCTGATATTCCTAGGCCTAGACGAAACGCACAAGGAAAATTCGCTGAGCTATAAATCGTATACGGGGGCCCCCTTCTTCGCGCTAGATGTCACTCCGCGCGGCACAATCGAGCAGCCGGCCAAGGGCATTATCGCAACCATGGAAGCCAACGGCCTCTCCTTCTTCCGCGGCCGCACCGTCACCACCCTTCCGGCAGATGTAGCAGCTATATACGCTCAAGCCCGCGCCCTTCTTGACTGGAATACGCGCAATGCTTACTGCGGCACCTGCGGCCATTTAACAATGTCTATTCAAGCGGGCACGAAGCGCGCCTGCCCACCCCACGACACCAAGGGGCCCCGCCCGCCCTGCAGCACGCGCACGAGCATCTCAAACCTATCGTTCCCCCGCACAGATCCCACCATCATCGTCGCCGTCGTCAACCATGACGGCCAGCGCGTACTTCTTGGCCGGCAGAAGCGGTACCCGCCGCACTGGTACTCGACGCTGGCGGGTTTCGTCGAGCCGGCTGAATCCGTCGAGGACGCAGTGCGTCGCGAGGTGTGGGAGGAATCTGGCGTGGTGGTGTCCCGTGTCGTCATCCACAGTACGCAACCATGGCCCTACCCGGCTAACCTGATGATCGGGGCAATCGCGCAAGTGGCGAAGCCGGAGCACGAGGTCATCTCCCTCCAGCATGATCCCGAACTCGAGGATGCGCGGTGGTTCTCTATTGCGGAGGCCGAGGAGGCGTTGAAGCTGGGCACGAGCGATTTGGAGGGGAAGCCCGGGCTGGGGTATAGAGAGGGTGCATTGCGATTGCCGCCTAGGACGGCGATTGCGAATCAGCTGATCGCAGCGGTGATCCACGGGGGGGTTTGGGGTTGATATCAGCTATGATACTGGGGCGAAAATGTGAACGGGATTAATCAAGCGTAAGTGGATACCAGTAGTTGGTCGGGCTTCAAGTCTGATACTCCTACATGTGGGAAAAACGGAACAAAAGAAAATAAAAAGCCCTTTTTTTAAAAAAAAAAAAAAAAAAAAAAAAAAAAAAAAAAAAGAGGATTCATCGGGTTTTATTGAGATGCCCTCCCTAGTAGCTACGTGGCGTGGGCGTTTACCGGCGGACAAGTTTTACAATCATCGCTTCCTTTTTTTACAATAGATATATATATTGGATTTGACAGGGCGATGGTGTATTTGAGGTCCTTCGTTCTGCCTCACCCTCTCTACCTATTAGCTAACATTAGATACTAACTAGTATATACCTTGAGCGTGAATGCATGCCATCACATCTTTGACTCATTTTGACAAGCGGCCATATGTATGTCCTGTGCATGTACACGATATAATTGAGTTTGCATATATATATATATATATATATATATTTTACTCGAAGCATTGAATTTTTGACCATGGCCGGCGGCCGAATATATATCGGATCCAAATATTCTCGCTCGTAGAATAATTTGATATGACACGGAAAACAACAGCGCTTTTCTTTATCAAGTTTTCTCATTTTTCACACTTCCCATTTTAATCCCGAATTTTTTGAGGGTGAGAGTACTTTTGCGCCAGATGCGTAGTTGGTTATCCTCACAAGAAATATGATAGAAAAATGTGATTGATAAATGAAGAGTAAAAAGGAAACACCGTGCTTTGAAATCAATAATACAGGAAGTATAGAGGAGAACTGGAAGAGAAGATGAGGAAGATTAGAGAAAAACAGATACAAAATGTCTGCGCTGCAAGCAAGTTACAATCGCATAGATTAGGGAAGATTTGAGTAAAAGGAAAGAGAACAACGCAAGTACTTGACAAAAAAGGAAAGAAGTTGATTATGCGCAAGTCACATTAATCAATAAGATATCGCCTATATCACATTTCCTTTTTGTATCTCCAAGTATGAAATTCGAAGGAAGGAAAACTACAGCGTTAAAGTTGGGTTGACAGAAATAAACAAGATAAGGAGAAAACACGTAAACTAGGTCTCCCAAGTGGCATTTCCCCTTTTGACCAAAAAGGTGACGTATGGAGCAATAATCGATTACCAGTGGATCTCTATTTTCAATTTTCAAGAGATGGAAGCTGAGAGGAGATATCTTCTTCCAACCGTGCCCGCTTGGTGTCCCGCCCATCACTATTCTGAATAGCGCCACCACTCACTCTACGCTTTTCCTTTTCGCGCTGATACTCTGCGCGACGAGCTTCTTTGTCTTTCTCCTTGCGGTGGGCTTTGGATTCGAATTCGTGCCAGTCTCCTTCGACAGATGCGAGTCTAGAGAAAAGCTGTTAGTAATCAGGAGGGAAACAGTGAGTATAGTGGAAAATTGGACTTACTCAATAGCCTGTTGGGGGGCGGGTTCCTCGGTAGTGAAGTATGGATGTGTCAGAACCTCCTCGGCAGAGGGTCTTTTCACAGGATCATACTGAAACATTTTGGCGACGAGATCCAAAGCTGCGGGAGACAAGACATCTCTATAAGCATCTTCGAAAGTGCGTGGTTTCCGCTCTGTTGGACGTAATAACTCAAACCACGGCATTTCAACAATGTCAGGCCAGTCAGCACGGGTGGGAGTACCCAGAGAATTGTACAGCTTTTCAAGTTGACTGATCTCGCCACCCTCACCGGGGAACACGGCTTTCTTGGTAAACATCTCCATCCACACACATGCGGCGCTCCAAATATCGACCGCTGGTCCATACCGAGTTTCTCCCAGTAAGAGTTCTGGTGGACGGTACCAGATGGTGATGACGCGGTTGGTGTAGTCTAGCTGACGACTCTTTGAGAAGAACCGCGCGAGGCCAAAATCGGCAAATTTCAGCTGTCCTTGATTGCTGATGAGAATATTGGCGGCTTTGATATCTCGATGAAGCACCCCGCGGTGGTGTAAGTAGTTTAAACCATCGAACATTTGCCGTGCAAGATGTTTTTTATGGGCGGGTGAGAGGGAGAAAGTCGGATGATTGATGAGACCAGTCAGGTCGTGAGAGAGGTACTCGAAAACCATGAAGCATTCGTTTTTCTCTACCATAACCTCCTGCAGAGAGACGACGTTCTCATGCTGGAGGTGCTGGAGTAGCCTAATCTCACGGACGGCTGTAACAGGGAACCCATCCTTTTCAGTCTCCATACGTATCTTCTTCAGTGCGACCATGTTCTTAGTATAAACATGAATAGCTTTGAACACCTTGCCGTATGTTCCTGCTCCGATGACTGACTCGTTTCCGGGTTTTCGGTAGTAAACAGAGTCGGACTTAGAGAACTCTTCAGATATACTCGGCCGGGGTTTCATCCGCTTGAGGATTTTCTTAGGTTTCTTACGCTCTGGTGACCGCTCTTGCCGTCTCTCATGTCGAGGTTCACCCCGTCGCTCATCCCGGCGATCACGATGTCTTTCTCCGCGATTGTCAAACCGGCGGTCGTTTCTCCGCGAATCTCGTCTGTCGTCTTTCCGATCTGGACGGGAAATATGCTTGTCCCTCGGTGGAGGGACATTCGATTGCTTGCTCTTAAGTGGATCTATGGCCTTTGGGGGCGGTTCACGCATCCTTCGTGCAAGATCTGGTACCTGCTTAGGAGTGGCTGGAGCAGGAGCTTTTGATTTGAACGCGAAACTGAATTTCCCCGATTCTTTTTCTTTAGGCTGTGAAGAAACACTATGCTGTCGATTTGGGGGTGGCATCTTCTTTGAATCCTGCTTCTCCGGCTTGGGCTTTGAGTCTTCATCTTCCACCTGTAAATCTTTGGATGGGCGAAAAGGATTATCGTCTTCGTCAATTTCAGGCGACAAGCGTTCGTCTGAAATGTGAGGTTGTTGAAGGGGACCTCCGGGGGGTCCATGTGCCCCACGCCCGCGGTTAGTGGACGGGGTCCATTGCAGATTGTTAAAGTGGCTCCCCCTCCCCCGTTGTTGCTGCTGCTGCGTTTGTGTTTGGGGGGGTGACTGAGCGTTCCCATACGATTGAGAACTTGTGACGGAGAATCGACGATCCTGGGTTGGATTATATTGAGTGCCTCGGTATCCAGGAGGTCCAGCTCGATATGGCTGACTAGAGTATCCTGGTTGTTGTCCATGAGCTGCGTTGGCTGAATACGGCTGGCCTTGGTAATATTGTCCTTGCGGCCCGCCCTGAGGTGGGGGATAAGTCGCCTGACGATAAGGTGGAGAATAGCTGCCCATTTGTCGGGATGAAAACATTAGCTTCAAGTCATAATGAATATCACGCATTTTTCTGGCATACTAACCCTTGCTGCCCATGGTATTGCTGCTGGCCCGACCAAGATCCTCTACCACCACTATGTGGGGATCCTGATTGTGGAGACCCAAGGTGGGAGCTTGTGGGCGTCACATACTGTGGTGAGTTACTGTAAGACCCGCGAGTATCGATTTGTGGACGGGATGGTCGACGTGAACCACGAATTTCCGCGCCGCGCATACTGTGCTTTTGAAAAGTATCCCGTTTCCGACTATCACTTTCGGTATTTTGTTTCGGGTTCCCAGCATCAAAACTCGGGATGGGGCGGAGAGGGGACGGGGAGCGTCGTGAGTCATCTACAACAGACTGGATCGGACGCGTAGATTGCATTTCTGTTTTTTTTCGATAGGTGGGCTGTGGGGATTGCCTTGAGCTTCTTGACAAGAAGGAGTGACGAGAGGAAGGACGTGGAGAATGATCCTGGTAGCCCTTGGTAGGTGGGGGACTCCGAGAAACGCGACGAGGGGATAGACTGCGTCTTCCTATAAATGAATCTGGCGATCTGGAACGTCTGCGGCGAGACTGGAAGTAATCAGATGCCGAGGCTTCAGAACGGAGATCCGTTGGTCGATAATCCTTCCCACGTGGAATGGGGGCTCTTCTGGGAGAAAAATTGCGATCAGATCGACCCCGGCCTCTCTCAGGGCGGTCTGGATTACGACCGTCTCGCCGCTTGGGGCGGGGGTGCGGCTGCAGTCGTGATGGCGAGATGCTCCGACTTCGTTTCCGTTTGGGTGGCGGGGCAGGGGATTGTGGTGGTGAGCTATCTTTCGGGTCACCTCGAGAATTTACCTGGCCCTCTGACTGACGCGTAGAGTCTCGCTGATCAGTGTCTGCAATCTTGTCGTGAGAGGGAGGAGAAAGCTGCCGGCTCCTATTATTATTATTATTAATATTATTACTATGATCGCTATTGTGGTGTTTCTTATGATCTCCCCTCCGACCTGATAGGGGACGACGGGACGATGGATTATTGCTAACGAACGAGGCACCACGCCCTCTGGGCCTTTCGTGGCCACGGCCTCCTCCTCGACGCGAGGGCGGCGGTGATCGTGGACGCCGCTCAGGCCGTTCGCGGTTTCTTTCTCGGTCCCTTTCTCTAGGATGTGGATGTAGGTTGTCTCTCGCTATGTGGTCGTCGTCGGCTCTCCACTGGTCTTTCATCAGCGGATTCCTTCGGGACCCAGCCATGTAATCGCTAGCGGCATCTGGTGCAGAATCGGCTGAGGGGATGGGTATGCAGCGGTTGGGTTAGGGGAACCGTTGGTAAAGAAACACCGTGCTGAACAGAAGAAGTGGATGCTGGAGATTCCTCTGGCACTAGCGGCGTCGAGGGTCTTGGCGTCGGGCGGAGTCAGCAACGGGCAGCTGGTCGCACCAACTGCGCAGTTCTGGAATTTTTTTTGGGGGCCCTCTTGCTGTTGAATTCCCTATCCGAACCCTGGAATTACATGTAATTCGATAATAGTCCTGCCACTGTAGCAATATGGTCCTTGGGATGCTTGAGTGTGGTCTTGGTGTGGGTCGTCGGACTCCAAATGCTGCTCATCAACGTCAGGACAGGCAAGAATCGCAAGACTCTATCACAGTCTGGATGGCTTCATATTCTCGCGGGTTGATAATCTCCGGGTGAGACCGCGGTTGCAGCTTGCATGCAGCATTCAAGAGGCGGAGTTGTCCAGTGGTGTGTTCCTTGTGGACGTCTTGGTCGGTTCCAAATAAAGGTTCCGCCCATTGCAAAAGGTTGGTGAGTGAGTGAGAAATGTCTACGGTTGTGCCTGGATTGAGGGCAACCCGGGCAGCCAAACAACAACAGCGCCCACAGAAAACAATGCCCAGACAGTATCTTCCCGTTTAACCGCTGCAGAAATACAGAGATTGCCCTGTAATGTTCCCATAATATGCTCCCGTCCCATCTGCGTTCCTCCTCCCTGCCAGTGGGTTTCATTGCCCAGAGAGAGCCACAGAGCCCGTCAAAGTGAATAAGTATCACTTTCTTCATAGTCCCAGCTTTCTCAGGAGTTTTTTTGGGGGTGCTCGTTGGGTTGCGAATAGTCTCTGGTTCATGGTCGAGAGCACCACCATATTCTTCTTTTTGTTGTTTTTTTTCCCTTTTCAACGGCTGTTGCGCCTTAACAGCGTCATGTCACACACATATCTATCTACGGTATGGAAAAGAGAAGCAGAATATTCCGATCCGACATGCAACCCTTCCCCCCATGTGAGGTTGAGTAGTAGTTTTCACCAAATGTCCCCCTGGTCGATGTGGATTCCACACTTTCAACCGTCGACGGCATGTGTTCTTTTTAAAACTCCCCCTCATTTAAAAATTTCCAGTTCAAGCGCGGTTGTATGCGGTCCCTCAAGCGCGACAACTCCGGTCTAATAGTAGCAGCAGGAACGGCACCAGATAAAATGTTTAGTAGACGACGAAACGTACAACGCAGTTAGTGACGTACCTATATCTTGCATATCCCATTGCACTACCAAGGCAGTCCTTCCGTAATCCACGTAGCGAGGATATTTCAAGCCAAAACGGAAAGGCCAAACATATGTACTGTGGGGCAGGCTGATGGCTGGAATTGGGCGTCGCGAATATATACGACAAGGGGAGCGTTCGAGGCTCAAACTGATCACGGTCAATTTACAAACCATTTGAGGAAATGAACCTCCCTGCCACCCCAACCAAACATGACGTGCTGTCGCAAAGACAGAGGATCATCCGCGCCTTTCCAGTGGCAATTTGAGCATAAATCTTCATTCCGTCAACCATCCTCGGGCCGCCCACGGCATGAATCAACCAGATATTAACCAGATGAGATTCAGCGGCACGAAATTGTGGTGTTTTTCAAATAGCGTTTCCCTTCGCGAGAGATTGAAAGAGCATAAGGGTGGAGGCCTGCTCTGCGCAGTTGGTGGTGTTGACTGTCGTGCAGCAACGGACGACACGAACTACAAAAGTACGAAAGGACACCAATCCCATCCCACCACCCGTCCATCCATCCATCTATCAATCCATCGTTGGCCAGCGAAAACAATCCCTGCCGATCCACATAGCGTACACCATGGGTGGTGCATCGCCGTCCTCACGATGTAGATATTCGTCATTGTTGACACCTCTTCCCCCGGAACGCACCGACAAAATCACTAAGTTAATGTTACCTAGGTTATTCGAGGAGGAACAAACGAGGGCGACGGGGTCACGATGACATCGAACGAACGATAGACTCGGGCACTCGAGATACAAACCACATACCTCTGCCTCCAAACCGTATTCCAGGGTAGGACTGTCTAATAAGGCCGTCTGCTGCTGGGCGGTGATGGAGTAGTTGTTGGGTTGGAATTGTTCTCTTGCAAGTTGCAAGTTCCCTTGACCAAGTCGGATGCCCACGTGCTCTGATTAATCATCATTTCAACCAACTTCCACCACCCCATCTAAAACACACCCACGCCCACCCGCTCCATACTGACTTAGGTTTCAATACATCCCAACACAGAGTTATGGGTTACGTGAAGGTTAGGTATTCTGGATATTAGGGCTAGTTTACTGGTTAGGGCCTGAGAAATATGATTTAAGACATTGCATTACACTAGTTATAGTTAATGTGTGTATTAATAATGCTTCATGGCACATTTTAGTTGGGTTGGTCTTGGGTTTTTAAAGCTACGCCGAAGGTTTTTCCGGCCGAGATTTAAAACCACATCCAGCTCCCTGATTCGACAAATATCCCAAATAAATCCAACCCATTAATCCATTTATTTTTCCATTAGCTATTCAGGAGACCGATCAATTCATTATGCTTCCAATGTTATCTCCAAGTACGGAGTATTCCAATCACCAAAAACAAAATAACCCCGGGAACCCCATATTATTAGTTACAACCCTCAGCCGAACAAGGGCCATTATTCATTCCAGCAATCACCAATGAAATAATAACTCATCATTCTCCCAAAGAAGATATCGCGGACTCCACGAATATATGAAGACAAAGCAGAACACAAAAAAATTTAAAAAAAAAAAAAAAAAAAAAAAAAAAACAAAACAAAACAAAAGAGTGGCCAAACAGGGAATGGATCGACCCGTCATATTAATCACCCCATAACCCTCCTTGAAACTACCTTCCCTACCTCCACCTTCCCCCTGTCCTCCACAGGCACAAGCATTTCTTCTAATCCCTCCATCCTCTCCATCTGCCTCCGGCGCAACACCGGCGGGTAATCCTGCATCGTATTCGGATTAATATACCCCCACAAAAACATATCTGTATACCTCTGCTGCAACTCTAAACCCCTGCGTATTGATTCCTTCAGCAGCAGTTCGTCTGGTCTCTGTAGCAGCGTTCGGTTGCGTGTCCGGCCCCAGCCTTGGTACTGCACGATGCCCACCTCGTGCGCTGGAATGCCGAAGATACTTAAACCCCGTTGATCCTGGCGTGGCTGGTACTTCCAACGGACGAATAGTCGCATTACGTCTAGCTTGCTGATCAATGCTGTCCGTTTCAACGTGCGCCAAAGCATGGAAAGGCTAGGTTGTGCGAGCAACAAGCGGCGCATCCCATCCTTCCCGCTCCCGGTGATTGGATCCGTGAAACGCATGTCGAGCTTGACAAAAAACAATGTAGCGAAGAAGAGATCGACGTCCGTGAAAATCTCGCAGTTTTGAGCTAGTCCTATTCGTCGTGCGTTGTCTGGAATATCCATGAGGAGCCATATCTTTTTCATGGTTTCCGCGCAACGGTCTGGTACAGGGACCCCATCCTCTGCCAGGATAGTGATGATCTCATGACAGACCATTTCGCGAAAACACACCATGAGCAGCCATCGGAACGATGGAACTTTGCGTGTCTCTCCTACAGCAGCACGTCTTGCAACAGGATGGGGACGTAAACCTGGGTCTGGAATGCAAAGTTTTGCATAGCAACGAGGCGGAAATATTTTTGCAGATTCTGGAGCGCGTGCACTTGCTTGTGCCTGGATTACAGTTGTAAAGCGAGTGTTGACCACATTGTGGAAATCTCTTGAAATACGATATAAAATCAAAAGCTCCTGTACACGCAGATGCTTTGCGAGGAGCAAGGTCAGATCCGGTCTTTTGAGAATTTCCTCGAAAATATTGAAGGGTTTCTCATATTGCTGTCTGACTCCCTCAAGCCCTGGAACTTGGCATGGGGTTTGGCATGAACAGTTTTCAAGTTTGCGTTTTTTAAAAATAGGCGATTGGGAAATATCAGATGACAACATATTAGATTCCCTAGATTCAGAACTGAGTTGTCTTAGGGTTTCGGGATTGAGGGCCTCCGTCTGCTTTGAATCTTTGGGAGAAGTATCAGAGTCTGCATCGTTTAGGTTGACATTCCGAAGCGCCTCTGCCAAGGGCGGCAGCCGTTGGACCTTTGTATTACGACGGGGATTCCACAGACCATGCAGAGACAGTCGATTCCCGGCTTGCTCGTTTGGATGGTCTCTTGTCCTCATCGCAAACAGAGGATTGAAGCAAACGGGGAGCGGGAGCATTTTCTGCCTTGCGGTTAGCTTCTCACCACCAGCCTCCTTTGCAATCATGGACATGCCTTTGGGTATCAATGGGCCTAAAATCAATTCAGCAGCTTTCAGCAGCATGAGTAGTGGGTCTTCGTAAGTGCGATCCCTGGGTGCTGCTATCGGTCTTGGCGAAACGGGAGGAGTGGGTTGGGTCGACTTATAGACATGTTCTTCTGCTGACATCCCATTGGAACTTTGTATTGGTGGGTTGGCGTGAGTTGTGGTCCGGTGTGACATCTTATTAGAAATCTGCGTCACCGGGCTCGCATGGTTTGTATTCCATTCTTCCGGGCGAATCCGCGCATGCTCCGGCGGCACTGACGGTGCGGGTCCCATCGTCGCCAAATGCGATTGCAGTGCAACTGTTCTATTGCCATGTTGCGCCCATTGCATGCTCATTCCGAAACCGGGCGCTCGCTGCAATTCGCCATTTTGCCTCAGCTGGCATGAGGCAGACGGACCATGAGGTTCCTCAAAATATCTGTCGCCGTCCAAGCTGTACATACCGTCGCTTTGACACCTCATATGATTTGGCGTCCAACCAGGCTTTGCTACGGACGCAGGCATTCCTATAGGCGCTCTCCAACTTTCTCCCTGGCCAACGTACCCAGCTTGATGCGAGATTCCTTGCATAGGATAATTTCCCATGTATTGGCCTAGTGTTGAGTCTTGCCCAGGGACTGCACTGCCGTAGGCTGCCATATTTAAGTGAGATGGTGGTAGTCTATTTGTTGGTTGTTGGAACCGTTCCATCTCTCCTGAGCCACCAATGGGACTGGAATTGTAGCCGTTCCTCGTGTGCTGTGACCAGCCATTCCCATGCATTCTGCTCTTTCTAGTCTGTGGAGGAAGCATATGCAGTTCTATTCTCTGAGGCCATGATGAGGTCCTTCTGTGTCCTGTTCCATCTCCGCCCTGGTGCAGCTGCGGTGGTGGCGCTTGTGGCGGGTATATCCGATGCTGATTTTGCTGCTGTTGTTGCTGTGACAGGTCAGCTACAGGTGGAAATATGCGTAGCCCTGGAAGTGGTGGATCCAACGGATGTTGGAGTCTTGGGGCCGGTAATACCTGCGTCTGAAGGTGACACTGGTGCTGGGGTTGGTGCTGGTACTGAGCCTGATATGCTTCTTGTTGCTGCATGGAGACCTGGCCCAAGCCCCCTACTCTCACAGCCATGTGGGCCTGGGGTAAATAACCCTGCTGCAGGTTCATATTCGCCCAACCTCGACAGGCAAAATCTACGTAAATGCCTGAAGACTGAAATGCAAATGTTTATAACGCTCTTATCCAAAGAGCTAACGGAAAGTAAAGATTATCAAAACGCGCGCGAAGGGTGCCTTGAGCAGCGAATGAAATGAAGTTTGGATCACGAATTTGGCAACGATTCAGATCAATAAGCATTATCCTTCTCCTTGCTCGGGAGATAGTGAATGAGATAGATGGATTTGGGTAGAATGGGTATTGTATACAAGATTGGCAATTGAATAGGGGTTCTGTCACCAGACATAGAACGACCCAGAATGGTGAATGTGCAACTTTTGGCTGAAATGGGGGGATGCAAACGCGCAGATAGATGGGCCAATTCGAATAACACGCTTGTGGAATTCAAGAACAGGCATCCAAGCCGAGTATGTGTCCGCAGACAAGAATTAAGGAGGCTATCTGAAGAGTGAGAGTTTATTTGGTATCGATAGTCACTCAATACCGCGACGATAGGGACTGGGATAGACGAATAAACGGCGGAATGATTGGAAAGGATGATGATAGAAAAATAGAAGGACAGCGAACCAACACGAGGCCGGGAGTCCAGCGTGGTGATAAAACAATACTTAATGCGTCGAGAGTACTTAGCGCTGGACACTGGAGATGTGTGACTCCTGTTTAGTGTTTACTTTCCATAGCAAGCCGTCGACGACTCTGTTCCGTTGCCATGGAGGGCTCTGCTTTCCTCACAACTCTCCCACGACTCTGCAGGCGCAAGGAACGCGCACTCCCGCTGTGTCTCTTGCTTGCTTCCTGCTGGATGGAGCCAAAAATGTATTACACATAACCTGCTGCTCTGCCTTTGATGGTTCCTCCCATCTAGCCATTTTGCTAAAGACCGTATACCTGCGAGGTGAGGTATTGGAGATGTTTCCTGTTTCATCTCTCTCTCTCTCAATGTACCACGTTTATGTATATGATAGATACACTGCCAGTTATCTCAACAGTATATGCAATAAAACCAACTCCAAAACGAAAGGGAAAGCATGGCATGATTGGCCCCTTGATTGAAATTCTCAAAACCAAAAACAGGAAACGCAGTCATCGTCTCCTCACACACCTTGCCTCAAGGAGTACATATTTTCTTTATGATCAAGAATGTCAGGTATCGAGTATCGAGTGGAGAAAAGGAAGGGATACGGTGGATGAGGGGCGGGTCCATATATACAATAATATATCCCGGTAAATTCTCTCTTGCAAGCCGAATGAATATCTTCCTTGAAGTTTAAGGTTGGGTTCAAAAAAAAGGGAAAATATATGGAAAACAGGTAGGGGAGGGGAGGTATAAATATAAATGAACACAGGAAATGTTGAAGTTATATATATCCAGTCAACAGGGGTTCAAGGAGAAAGGAAAATGGAGGAAAGGAAAAGAAGAAAAGCCAACAGCAAAATGAAACAGTGAAGATGGAATGAATATAGTACCCGCCGACAAAAGCCGGAGAACATAATGACGATGAATACCCAACCTGATATATGAGACAATAATAATGATATCATGAAAACAGTGTGCCTGTTGAAACGGCTAATGTCAAAAAAGAGAAAGCCACCTAATCAACACCCTCCTCCCGTCCGTCGCCTCATCGCCCACGAACCGCCAGCAACGCCCTTACCATACATCACTTGATAACCTAGCTTTCGGCCTTAGTCTCGCGTCCTCCCCGTCTCGCAACAGAGGCGGCTGCGTCGGCAGTGGCCCTCTAACCACTACCACTATGAGCAACAACTTATCCCCGGCGTTTTCAAAAAGCGTCTATTGTCAAATGGCTCTTGAAAGAAAACAAGCATAAAACAAAAAACTCCGAGTTGAAGGGGAAAAAAATGAAGAAAATGAGGGCAAGAAAAGGAACAAATGTCTATCATGATGCGAAATTTGATGAACGGCAAATAAACTATCGGGAAGATAAGATATGCTTGAAGAGGGGAATGCAATAGATCGTGTTCGGAATCGGAAAGTGAAAATTTATCGTCATCGTTTGGAGCGTGGGATATTGAAATTCGGAGAGTTGCATGTCGATGCTGTCTTGTGGTCATTCGTTTGATTCGTTTCGGATATCCAAAATTGGGGCTATTTATACATTTTTCTATTTCATGCACCCATATTTCTGATTCTGCTTCTTCTGCTTTTTCATTTTATGCCCTGTTTGAGAACAAAAAATTATTTCCGATTGAGTAAGCTAAGGAACTCCTCTCGGGTCTTCGCGCTCGCCCGCATGCAGCCCAGCATGCAACTCGTTGTGGTCGTGCTGCTGGTCTTCTGCACACCGCGCATCACCATGCACAGATGGCTCGACTCAATAACCACAGCTACACCTCTGGGCTTCAGCACTTCGGAGATGGCGAGGGCTACTTGCTTCGTTAGACGTTCTTGGACCTGGAGACGGCGTGAGAACATCTCTGCGAGGCGGGCGAATTTAGAAAGGCCGAGGACACGGCGGTCGGGTATGTAGCCAATGTGCATCTGAGGGTTTCGCATTTAGAGTTAGCATGTGCTGTCATTTCATCTAATTTATCCACTTTTTCTGAAATTGAGAATCCGAAAGGGGTCGGTGGAATGAAATAACATACTTTGCCGGTAAACGGGACCAAATGATGTTCGCACAGTGAGAAAATTTCAATATCCTTCACGATAACTAGCTCATCATGGTCTTCATGGAAGACAGCACCGTTGACTAGATCGCGCACGTTTTCCTCATAGCCCTTTGTGAAGTACATCAGCGCTTTTGCGTATCTTTCCGGTGTACCCAGAAGGCCCTCGCGCTCTGGGTCTTCTCCAATACATTCCAGAACCGTCCGGACTGCATTTGCTAGTTTTTGTGTTCGTTTTTCGTTTTCTTCTGGTGTCGCTTCGAGACGCTCGCGAGTGCCGACGCCTGCAAAACAAAAGTAAATTGTTAATTGGGAAAAACGAAAGCCATTCCTTTACCGGAACCGGGATACGTACTCGGCCAACTAAGCCCGTCAAAATCAATTGGAGGATTTAGCGTATAAGGGCTCGCAGGCCTACTAACAGCGGAAGATAAATTTCGAGGTTTCGTATGGTCCCGAGGATCGCGGGGTGGTTCGCTAAAATTTCGTTTAAGGGGAGGGGGGGGAATGGGAGGAGGGCCGGCGGCGGGGCTGGTGTTCTGCGCCGCGGGAATGTCAAGCGGCTTGTGAGTGGCGGGCAGCGGTTTTTCATTCTCAGCATCGCTCCGTTCCGCTGATACATGTTCATGCTCATTCTCCAGAAACCCGTTCTCAATATGCCCATTGGTAGTGGGCATTACAGTTTCCCGCATGGTTACGGCGGCTGCTGGGTTCCCTACCGCCAGGATTGGTTTTGGAGATGTAAAATCCGGATCAACGACTTGTTTCCATGACAATGAAGATTTAATTGATGAATTGAGCGTTTCACGCTCGCTCTCGCGCACGCCATTTGTCGCGCGGACAGAGGCTGATCCGTTTAAGAGACTGGAAGGGACAGCGGACTTTGGCTTGGGGCCCAGCGGTGGAGGTTCCTTGGCCATTTCGGGGGAATTTTTTTCAGCTTTGCGTTAAGAGAATGAATCCGATTTCAGTATCGTTTACTTCTCAGCTTCCAGAACCTTTGACAAAGAAGTTATATTTGTGGGAGCATTATCAGTGTCAAAATTTTTTGAATTTTCTGACGACCATGATAACTTTCCATCCCGCAGTAAGCCATGACTAAGACGCCGAGTCGTTGGACGGCTTGTCGGGATCGCGCTTCTGTGGCCCGTGCAATTTCCCGCTCTGTCATTTTATATAGATCTTCTTTAGAGAAATGAAATTTTATATCAATAAATCAATTGTAAAATAGATAGAAAATGACTATGATATATTCATATAATTTTAATCGATTATTAGCTGATTTACAATATAGTAATTGATTATTATTATTAGTTATTATTATCATTATACGATTACCACCACTCACAGTGAGTTTTCCCAGGCATAGCCACAAGCATACCAAAATATTAGGATCTGATCAGTTTCTAGTCAATTTTTGATCAGTTAAAAATCAACTAGAAATCGATTACTCCATAGAGATCGACTAGAAATTGATTTGTGTAAATTATCTTTTAATTGTTTCAAGAAGATTCTCTCAAGCAACGAAATGACATCAAAAGCGCCACTCACATGTGACAAAGCCAGTGTCAGGTTTTCTACAATAAATTTGCGGCTAGCCCAAAACAGGTGCCGAAACAGATTTCTGGTGGTAAGACTTAACTAGTCGAATAGCCCGCTGCCTGCCCCTTTACAAATACATATGGGGAAAGTAAAAAGACAAAAAGCCATAAGTTCATACACCTGAAGGCAACACCGAAGATAGCACCACCCCCATTTGCAAGGTAAAACTTGAAGCGTGAATTTTTTTTTTTTTTTTTTTTTTTTTTTTTTTTTTTTTTTTTTTAGGATAAAGTTTGTTGTGGTAATCGTGCGTCAAACCTGAATATAGACAACGAGCCACCGGTCCAAGCCAGAAAACAGTAGTAGGAACCAAGTCATGTCACTTGTAACCGAGCAAAATGACTCCTGTAATTACTCATGTCTCCAGCTCCTCAGTTAGAATATCCTCCATGTCTTTACCCACAATGGCATCAGACACTTTCCATACTTGAAGCAGGTTGTCTTCAGCTGCTGAACACAGAACCCACGGATCATTCAAGTTCCAGCTGAAGTCGGAGATGCGGTTGGTATGTCCACCGTGCATAAACAATCTATTCAACGGAATGGGGTTAGTATACGGTTATTAACATGCCGCACAGGCATATATGGCCCATTTGATAGGGAGCAAGTTGTGCAGGGACGGTTGAAACAGGGAAATAATAATGATAATAGTAATATGCTAAACTTACAGCTCAGGCGGCCCATCTTGAGCATCTTCAGGCGTCTGCTCCTCGCCAGCGCGACTGAGATCCCAGAACATAATCTTCCGATCATAGCTGGCACTTGCAAGCACCGCTTCCTCAAAAGGATGCCAAGCTAGAGATGTCACTGATTCATTGTGACACTCCAGCGCATGCAGCTTCGATTTGAGGTTTCGGAGATCCCAGATGCCAACACTTTTGTCCGCTGATCCGGTAGCAAGGAGTGTCTCCTTAGCTGGATTAAATGCAATGGCATTTATCGCATCTTTGTGTTGGTCCCTGGATACCGCAGCCGCACGGGTGGTGTCAGCTTCGCGATCATCGATGATTTGAAGTGTGATATCATCGGATACAGTGCCAATGAAAGATGAGTGGAGAGGATGGTATTGCACATCGTTGACAATGGAGGAGTGATGGGTGTATGTTCGCGAAGGTCTAAGAGCCTTGTTGCCCTTTGTGTGTTGTGTGATGTCCCTGTAGGGTATTAGCCTTAGATGTTTAAATGCTTAACTCAGAAACGAGTGCTGGTTCAGCAGTTTTTTTTTTTTTTTTTTTTTAAAGAGTGGGAACACAAACCAAAGGCGGACGGTTTTGTCTTCACTTCCAGTAACGAGATGGCCAACCAAATGAGGACTCCAACTTAACCCAAATCCTTCCTTCGTGTGTCCAAGTAACTCCAACTCAGGGCTGACATTGCCTGTGGGAAGACTGGGGTGTTTAGATCGGTCCCAAATCATCACTCTTCCATCTGTGCACATTGTTGCGATAACGTTTGGGTTTTGTGGTTGGTATCGCGCTTTGTTCACCTCGCCTTTGTGATCGATCTTTTGGACGATGTTAAATTTCACCTCCATGGGTGCCTTCTTTGATCCCCCGCCTCCATAACCGCCAATCTCACCCCTCTCGTCATCGTAATCTTCCGCATCTGGAGCTGTTGGATTGGGTAGTTGGACATGCGCTATTTGAAGGTAGTTTTGAGCATCACTCGATGTATGTGTTCCAATGAGTAGGCGGTGGGTGGAATAAGGTTTATCTGGAAGACTATCCGGGGGTATAAGCAAAATGGAGCTCCGAGGCAGAAGTAGAAGCACTGCCTAAGAAAACTTACGTTTGTTTATCTGGTAACCATTGTGTAGTAAGAGTAGGCCACTCTAGTGCTGTGCTAAGTATCATATCATAAAGAAAGGGTGCATTTTTCTTCCACGTCTTGTACTCTAGAAAAAAGGAAATGTCAGTTGAGCGATCTTCAGAAGATAGCAGCAAAATAGACGGGAGTCGATACCTTCATTGATTATCTTTTCCTCCGTTCTCTCTTCTTCTTGTTCATCCTCTATACCCACTACAATTGTCACATCCAAAATCAGTAGCCATCTTGCGCGACACCGAGAGATCCTCACATACCTTGGTCATAATCATCCATGGTGAGCTTTGTAGTGAAGGCTTCGCGCGCTTCCTAAAAGTGGAGGCAGCTGTGGCTTAAGAAGAATAGGGCTCAAGGACTTCAAAACAGTTTACCCTGCCAATTGAGCTTCTCTGGGCCGGTAGAGTCTTATCAAAGCTGTTGTTGGGAAACAGACATCCAAAGAAGAAAACGCGATTGTCGCGTTAATGTGTCCACTAGTCTTCTTTTGGGAGAGTCATCCACGTGACAATCTCTTCCATCTCGATCTTTTCAAGATGATGAAAACCGATTCACTCCAAGCTTTTTAAATGGACGTCCGTTTTCCCTTTTTGCTGTTTCCTTCTCTATTCGGAGCTCCGAGAGCCCATCTATTCTTCATTCCTCTAGAGTTTGTGTATATGGGTTAATTTCAATCCTCCTTCGTTATTGGTGTTCGATCCAGGTCACGTCACGGCTGTTTTCCACATATTTTCCGCTTTTTACTGTTTTCCTATCCTTAATTTAACAACTCACAAATATGGGTGTTCCAAAGTTTTTCAGATGGATGTCTGAGCGATACCCCGCTATATCGCAGTTGATTGCGGAAAACCGAATCCCCGAGTTTGATTGCCTATACCTCGACGTGAATGGCATTATCCACAACTGCACCCACAAGGATTCGGATTCTCCAACTTTTCGCATGACAGAAGATAAGATGTTCATCGCTATTTTCAACTATATTGAACATTTATACGGGAAGATCAAGCCGAAACAATTATTTTTCATGGCTATCGATGGAGTCGCCCCCCGCGCGAAAATGAACCAACAACGAGCGCGACGATTCCGAACCGCGCTGGATGCTGAGCTGGCCAAGGAAAAGGCTATTAACAAGGGATTGAAATGCCCAAGGAGGAAGCTTTTGATAGCAACTGCATAACGCCGGGAACTGAGTTCATGGCCAAACTGACGCAGCAGCTGAAGTATTTCATCAATAAGAAAGTCTCGGAGGACGTGGAGTGGCAGGGCGTGGAGATCGTTCTGTCCGGTCATGAGGTTCCTGGTGAGGGAGAGCATAAGATCATGGAATATATCCGACAGTCGAAAGCGCAGCCAGGGTACCAACCAGATATACGACATTGTCTATACGGTTTAGATGCGGACTTGATCATGTTGGGCCTGTTGAGTCATGATCCGCATTTTTGCCTACTCCGTGAAGAAGTTACGTTTGGAAGGCAAAGTCAGAAAAAGTCGAAGGAGCTAGAACACCAGAATTTCTATCTTATGCACCTATGTATGGTGCGGGAATACCTAGAGCTGGAGTTTCAGGAGTTGGAGGAGGAGAACGCTTTGCAATTTCCTTTTGATTTGGAACGAGTTATCGACGATTTCATTCTGATGGCTTTCTTCGTGGGAAATGACTTCTTGCCGAATCTGCCGAATCTACACATTAACGAGGGGGCGCTGGCATGGATGTTCAAGGTATACAAACAAGTTTTACCGAAACTGGGAGGATACATAAATGAACAGGGGACAATCAATTTGGAGCGACTAGGGGTGCTCCTTGATTCGTTATCTGATGTAGAATTCCGCTTCTTTGAAGCAGAATTTTCGGATGCGCGTTGGATTAAATCTAAAATGAAAGGCGAGGAGCTGGAAAGCTCGGAACCACCTGCAAATGCGAAGGATTTTGCGATCTCGCCTGCGCAGAAGCACGTTTTCAACCGAATTAAAAAGTATGTCACTCATCGCCCGGTGAATGATCAAGGGCAATTTGTTCCTCTTGACCTCTCCCCTAATTTGCCTGCGAGGGATCGAAAATTCGTAGAGCAGTTAGCAGACGATCTACATCTTGCTTGGACTACAGTGTCCAACGAGCATGGCGATAGGTTCTTGCGGGTTCAACTTCCGTCGAAGGAGACTCAAACTAGCGGGAGCTCTGGTGATGATGACGGCGATAACGAAGAGGGACAGATTGCACTTCTTCTCGTGATGAAAAGATACGAAAACGCTAAGGTGAAGGAGACAACAGCCGAGGAAGCCCAACAAGCTGCTGAAAAAAAATACGAACTCAAGTTCCAGGAATGGAAGAACAACTACTACAAGTCCAAATTCGGATGGGACATGGATAACCATGAAGAAATGCGGCAATTGACGGAAAATTACGTACAAGGCCTTCAATGGGTTCTCTATTATTATTATCGTGGAGTTGCCTCGTGGCCTTGGTTCTATCAGTATCACTATTCGCCGATGATTTCTGACGTCAAACTTGGCTTGGAAGCTGATATGAATTTCGACCTTGGGCAACCCTTCCATCCTTTTGAACAATTAATGGGCGTTCTACCGGACCGAAGTAAACAAATTGTCCCTTCAGCCTTCCATGAATTGATGACTTCCCCGGAATCACCGATCATTGATTTTTACCCTCGCGACTTCGAACTTGACATGAACGGCAAAAAGATGGAATGGGAAGCCGTTGTCAAGATCCCGTTTATCGATGAAAAGCGCTTGCTTAGCGCGATGGCTACAAAGAAACACCTTTTGACACCAGAAGAGAATGCAAGAAATGAATTTGGCGTTACATTAAAATTCACATATTCGCCAGATATCGAATACATATATCCCAGTTCACTTGCTGGCGTGTTCCCCGACATTGCTAAGTGTCACTGCATAGAAAATGTGTTCGACCTTCCAACAATGGAAGGCCTAGAACCTTTCGTTGGCCTTGTGGAAGGGGTTAAACTAGGGCACGAAGCATTGGCGGGATTCCCTAGCTTGAAAACATTGCCACATAATGGCCAACTAGGTTTCCACGGGGTCTCCGTGTTCCAACAAGAGAGTCGTAACGAGAGCATGGTGGTAACGCTCAGCGAGCCTGAAAATCGATCCAGTGTTGAACTAGCGAAACAAAAGCTTGGTCAAAGAGTTCACGTTGGCTACCCTTTCCTTCAAGAGGCCAAAGTAACTCGCGTATCTGACGAACTTTTCGATTACATGTATGTCGACGGAGAGCAGCATATTGTTTCGATTCCTCATACACCATCACAAACGGATCAGTGGAGACGCAAAGCCCACCAAGTTGAGTCATATTATAGCAAAAGGCTGGGCATGGTTGTTGGCGAGATCGAGTCCATGGTCCACGTGCAAATGCTGAAGGGGTTAATGAAGACAGCCGAAGGTGCCACGGTCAAGGAGTTCGCCGATATTCCAGGTATTGAAACGGATTACGCATTGCAGCTTGTTGTTGACCGAGTGATGTGCGAGGATGATAGGTTTATCGAACGAGAAGCCTTACCTGTCGAAGAGGAATTCCCGGAGGGAACAAGGGCTTTTTTCTTGGGTGAATATAACTACGGAGCTCCAGTACATATCACTGGGCATGAAGCCGGAAAATTGAGTGGTCTTGTTTCCGTCACCAAAGGCAGGGAACCAGAATTTGGTCGAGATTTGACGAGAGCTGCTGAGAAACTCTCTCCCTACAGTCCGTCATTTGCGATTGCCCGTAGTCTAAATCTGAACCCTTTGGCTCTGGCTAAAATCACGTCTTCGTTCACGGTGGTCTTGGATGGCCAGCGCATCAACCTTGGCCTGAACCTGAAATTTGAAGCGAAGAAGCTCAAAGTTCTTGGGTACTCCCGACGTGGACCCACTGGCTGGGAATTCAGTGAAAAAGCCATCGATCTTCTCCAGCAATATATGATCAAATTCCCTGAGTTCATTGCAGGCATTCAACGAAAGCCACAAGGAGATGGCTTCCAAGCGACAGATTTCTACCCAGCTGAAACCGCGGCTGCCAAAATCAAGGAGATTCAGGCGTGGCTCAAGTCAATCGAGGCCAAGAATTTCGATCGTGTACCATTAGAAGCTGAACAGCTCGATTCAAACCTTGTGAAATCCATCGAACAAGCTGCAGACGAACTCCTCCGTACACGACCAGCAGCTACAGCTAAAAAGCTTAAAGGCGTCCCGCGTAATGCGTTATTGAAACCGGCAGATGCGGAACATCGACTTGGCAATCAATCATTTTCTCTTGGTGATAGGGTGGTCTATGCACAGGAATCTGGCAAGGTTCCCATCGCGACGAGAGGCACTGTCGTTGGGCTCACGCGGACGTCCAGAACGCTTCTCCTGGACATCGTATTTGACGTCTCCTTCATGAGCGGGACGACCCTAGGTGACAGATGCTCGCCATTCCGCGGGTCGACAGTTCCTGCATCATGCGTCTTGAACGTGACCAACAGGCAACTTATCGCGACCACCCGCGCTGCAGCAGAACAAGGGAGATCACAACAACAGCAACAAAACCAACCGCTAACAGTCCAGGGATATGGAGCGCCGCTCGGACCAGGTGGAAAGGGCCAGCTGAAACATGCGAGCGCCCCGCCACCTCTGCGAGGCAGCTTCTGTGGCGCTCTTACAGGACAGCTTGGTGCTCCCAGGGGCAATGGAGTGTTCCGAGACCGTGGTGGCCACAGCCAGTCGGAGCAAACATTGCCGATTCGCAATCACCACCAAAACAATGCCTCCTCACCGCAGCCGTCTGATCTGCGCGGCCGGGGTGGGCGGGCTAACTTCACCGGCCATCAGAATGGATATAATCCACGTGGGCGTGGAGGACGACGTGGAGGTGGAGGCGGGGATATGGGTGCTCCGCCTGCGACTCCCGGTGGCTATGTTTCGGTTGAGAGAACGGACCCACTTGAAGGAGTTATCCAACACAATCCGAATTTCCGACCTCAGTCGTACAATAATGTTCCTCCCCCGTCAACTTTAGAACGTGGTGGAAGTGGCCGGGGTAGAGGCGGTCGTGGTTTCGCACGAGGGGGTGGTAGGGGTGGTAGAGGTGGTAGAGGTGTCAACAATAGCCAGGGAGCCACATCCACCTAAAGACTTGAATGAATGAATTTTTTCAGAATTGATTTTTTTTTTTTTTTTCCCCTCATGGTTGAGTTGAAGACTCATATGCATGTGTTGGTAGGAAAAGGAGGTCTGTTTGTACAGAATACAGTGGTGTTCAATAGGTCAGCGTACTAGCAGCTCGGCGCTGAGGACCCCTCTTCTTACCCCTCTTCTTCAAAGATTCCTCCATCATCTAACATTCCCCTTATACATCAAAAGATGCCCTCACAATTGAAAACATTGTGGAGAGAACACTCTCCAGCTATTATTAATACTATTTTGAATCTTTAAAAGTGAGAACATTCATTTTTAGATATAACTTGAATTTTAGATCTGTCTCACTTTATCATATTCTTTATTATTTATTATGAATCTCATCAAATAAATGAAGAAAGTTTTAAAAAACATTTTGAGAGATTTTCTAAATTCTTTGTTCATAATCAACATCATTTTATTTTCTCTGTAGAGAAGAATCTCTTCTACTCTTTAATCAGCTTTCTCATATTCTCAAAATCTAACTTCTATATTTGCTGAAATACAGCAAGACAGTATTTTCAAAAGAATGAATAATATATTTTTAAATCATAAAAGAAGCTCTATTTAAAGTTTATATATAAGAAAGTTTAAAGAGTTTTTGTGAGGGGTGATGACAGTGTGAAGAGTGAATAGTAGAAGATAATAGTAATAATAACGCAATAAATGGTCACTCTTATTTGGGCTGCAAAGTCCGACTCTGCCACCTCCTCAAGTTGCCCATCTAAATGTACGTCTCTTCTTGGACATATTGAACACTTCAGCAGAGCTCTCTTCGCTCTCCCGGGTTACCGGAGCACCAGAGGCAGCGTTCTGCAACCATTATCCTCTTCCAATACAGATGTAAAACTAGAGCCTTGTATATCAACGCTCTGCAAAATATAAATTTGGACCAGACAACCTAAGTCAATACCATTCAGTGCCATCTATTAGTCTCCCAACGACCTTGAAGGCCTTACATTGGCTGGATTTCGTCGCGAGGCATCCTCATATGCGCTGAGGTTTTTGGTATGCGTTGCAGGTGGTTAGTTGTCTGGCGAACTAGAAGGGAAAAGGCTGTACGAATATAGAGCATATTGTATTATATTTATGTGGATTTAAAAAGGCCCACACCCCGGTGGGAAGTTCCAGAGTTACGCGAAGAAACACTGATCATTATAATATTATGCTATTTATGACTATGATCAACCCTAAAAAGGGAAGCTGCCCTGGTGCAGGTTATGGCTTCCCCGTGTGCATGATAAGCCCTATTTATCATCAGTTCAGGTAAGTCTTATTACCCACTGTATTACCTTCAACAATGGAGCCAACTCTCAGCTTCTTGACATGTCTACAAAGAATCTGAGACTCTTCTCCTCCTTCAGTTGTATTTGCGAAGCTCCATTGCGCGTCTTGATACTCTGTTTGGTCGGAAAATGTCGATAGATCAGAGTCATCCAAGGTGAGAGCTGCCTCAGAAGCCGTCTGACACTGAGAGGTTGAATGAAGAAGCTGAGATTGGGGCTTTGCATGTGTTTCATTTACTGCCCTAATAAACTCATCCCTCTTTTCCTTTGCCCAGTCCCAAGCATTTCAGTATGCAGATGCTCCATGCTGAAAAGTTCCTGGGTCACTGATCATCGACCAGCCTTTGAGCTGGGTCATAATATACTCAGAGTGACAGTCTAGACCTTCAGGCTTGATGAGATGAGTTGTGTATAGCTTGAATTGACCACCATGATAAGTCAATGTAAAAAGTGTAAGCATTGTTGTTGTAGAGTGTGCATACTCTGAGCTTCTAATATGCCGTCATAGCAAGCCTGGAATCCATCAGAATCTTTTGCTTTCAAAAAGAAGTTCAGTACCATTGAAAAGTCATTCTGTGTTGATGAAATAATATAGTCACTAAGTTTGTTGTGAATTTAATGAATGTGCACTATAGAAGTGATCTGACTTGATCTGAATCAGAATGTCATCAGTTAAGAGGGCAAGATTTCCAAGTGAGTATCCCTCTTCAGCACATTTGGGATCATCAACATCATCTTTGATGATAGAAATCACTGACATTGTGACTGATTGTTTTTTAAATGCGTGGGTATCTGCTCATTTGAATTTTCAGAAATGCTTATTGAAAAAATTTGATGAGGAAAGGGAGAATCGGGGTTGAGCTAATCTTTTATTGATCTCCTCTCAGTTTTTTAGCATTGCTGGTATTCAACCATCTGAATATTCATATTCATCAAAATAAACACCATGATCAATTAGATTCTGCTGAAAGTTACAATTATAGAGTGTGGTGCTTGTGAACTTGGTGGTGCTCTTTGTATCTGCACTTGTTGATGGAGGAGAATCTGCGCGTCGCTTTCTACTCCGGGACCTTGAGCTCATTGCTTTTTCAAGGAAGTTTTCCAGTTTAGAATACTGGGCAATATTATCAGCAATGGTATATTTGCATGGATTTGTAGTTACGTACATTTCTAAGGTCAGTTAGGTCAGGTCCTCCCAATCTGGAAACCCTTTTTATCTGCTTTGAACAAGCGGGTGCACAATCATGGAGAAAGGCTGGAGCAAACTGAAAAGGATTACAGCACTTCTTCAGCTCAGTGTGAAATCATTGAGTGAGAGGTTGATGATGGTTCTGAGATGGTTTCGGGCAGCTGTTTCTTCGATCTAACTCCTCTAATGCATCTTTGGTTAACCAAATCTTTGACAGGTTATCCCAATATGCTGATGCCGATGCGTCGAGCTTCTGCCTTTTCCGAAATCGTGACCTGTCGGATGGATGGGGCTTAGGATACTGACGCTTGCGAGACGGGTTGGACGTCACTGAACTAGGCATATGGTCATAATCACAAATATTTGGCTCTTTTATCTTGCGAGTATGCATCGAGGTCAGGAGGGCCAGAGGTTCTTGTAATTAACTTTTGCGCAGGATCCCAGAATGCATTCCAGGCGCTTTTCCGGAGATTATTGCTGTGTGCCCAATAGGTGCTACTATGGTAATCACGTGATATAACATACTTCTTTTTAGCACGCGTGTGGGAGCGGTAGGTGGGTCGTGACTAAAATTAGCAATGCTGCCTGGAGTGGTCGCCTGTCGCCTGTCCACTCAATATGCCATTATCCTTGCCTCCATTAACTTCTTCTCACCCTTCACACTTCGGCATTTAACGTACGGGATATATCAGAACGATTACGTAAATCCATCCCACTCTCGCTGACCAACAACAGAGCAAGCCCGGGAGGGGGAAATGTGTGTAGTCATCCAGTGGTTAAAAGCAAGGAGCCAAGCGCCTGATGGGGGTGAACGAAACACTGCCCCCTATTTACAGCATGGTCCAGATCATGTGCCATCGATTTTAAACTGTGCGTCAACGGACTGATTGGAAAGAGTGAGAATTTTAACCCTGTCAATGAATAGCCCTCCCGTTTTATATCAAGTGTTGTCTTCTATGTAGTTGAACTTATAATAAGTTTCATTCTCTTGCCAGCAAGAAAGTGACGGTTTTCTGGAGGGAACGTTACATACTCAATGTGAATATCTAACTCCATAGGTACATCATCCACCGGGCCAACATGGGAATTTTCGGTATCGGATATTTTTCATGCTTTGGAAGCGTCGCTGCTGGTCGTCATCTTCAGTCGCCCAGTCGCCGGTCCTAGCATAGTTAAATAGTTCTTGGCATTTTCGCGAAAAATCTTCCGGCCCGTTCCGCTGCTTTATTGATGTTCCATACAGCCAAGCATGAATTTTATCAACTGCAACACCAGCCGTTGATTTGGATATCTGGCCGCTCAGATACGCCATCGTACCCATGCCACTTGTAATCGGTGAGTCATGAAAGTCCCCCAGCGGGTGTGCAGTACCCATGTCCCCTTGATACAGGATGGAGAGCGAACTTGATTTGCTCAGCATTATCGTAGGCATATTGCCTAGCGAACGCTGTCACCAGCACCATCCATCATCCCTTCCATCCACCCCAGATCTCCTTAGCGGGCGTCTCTTCAATTTCGTCTCTTGAACAGTCTTTCGAGCGCACCACTGCCTTATCGCTCCTCTTCTCTCCCCTAGCAGATCCTTGCTTCGGATGGACTGTAGCTGAATGCTGAACCCCGTCTTCTTAAAAATATAGCATCCAAAATCACAGAAAGTGGCTGAAAATAGGCTACGAGCGGCGCCGTTCCGTGACCAGATCGGTTCTCCAGTTTTCTCCATAGATTCGGTTGCCTTCTATCGAGACCCTGTATGGTGTCGGATCTCGAGCGTGGCTGAAAGGCGCAGCTTCATTTGGTCCAACCCTTGCACTAGTGCCTCACGACAACAACTAATGCATGATGGGATTATTGTTTTATTGCTGCACAGCTCCATACCTTCCTTGCTCTCACCCCCTAATTTTATCTACCGGAGTTTGAACGATTGGGCGGTTGATATATGAGGAGCAGGATTGCTTGTGAGAGGCGGAGATTGACATATTCAAGCACTCTCCCTGCCAGTGATTTCTTCTCTGTGTGATGATGATTTAAATTCGCGAGGCTTTTGTGCCAATGACAAATTTCGAAACCTTCGTCTTTACCAGATACTCGGAGATGATGTGGAGAAAGCACGCTGGATATGAACATCCCGTAGATAGAGAATTATAATCTAGAAAAAACCCTTCACTATTTGAGAAGAGTCAAAATCGACTTGAACCCCTTTCATTTCGAAAGAGAATTGTCTTACGTTTGGACTATCAGCGATAAGCAGATACAGGAATGCAGCTTGAGCATGCGAGCTTCAGTCATAGCATAGTCTTTGCAAGCTATTTTTAGATTATAGCCCCACGGTGTTGTAGGTATGCTAACTACGGATACCCGGAAGTATAGGACCAAGTTACTCAATCCGACTATTAATGTCGTCTCTGGCTGCTTCGATTATAGTAGAGCATCCATATCTGTGAGAAATTGCCTCAGAATGTCGCCCAAATTGTCCTTCTTGATCGAATACGTCCCTGTCGCAGGCTCATATTTCACTTGTTCCACATCATCCTGCAACACCAGCCAGCATGCAATGAGTAAGCCTTCAACCTCCCAACCAATGCGAACGGCAATGTCCGGGAAAACATCCAAACCACTTCCTCTGTCACACCCCTGCGCGGTAAACGAGTTCTCATATATGTCCTGCCACGCAAAATAGAACGGCGCTAGTGTTGGATATCGAGCCTCGATTATGTCCTCATCGACGTGAATCTCGTCAGGTGGGTTGTGAGGTGACCTTGTGTCATGCCAGAGATACGATGTTTGCCAGTCTGGAAACAATCGATAATGATATTGACACTCGTTCCTTTGTGGCTCCACTCCGTGGCTCTGATCAACCTCTGTGGAAATATCAACAGTGCTATTGATGTCACCGCAGTTAACGACTGTCAGTTGTAGTCCATATGCAGTTTCTAGGAAAAGGCGTTCTTCTCTCGAACGTTTCTATGAAACAAACAATTTTGTCAGTCGCGCGATCGCATGCGTGCATTTCCACAGAAACGTCTTTAGCAAGGTTGTCAATTTCAGCATATATGATGTAACAGGATGATGATATGTATAAGAGCTTTTGGAGCATTCTGAATTCGGGTGGGCTTTGCTCACACTGCCGCTCTTTGGATCCTGCGAGTGCTTGCTTCCCTGGTCTTTAACAGAAGATGAGTTCGATGGCAGACCGGGATCGGACGGTTGAACGGACCAGGAATCGACTGCTGTCTGTCTCTGATATATAAAAACCCGTACAGGCTGTAGTGGAGTTGTCATAGCTGAGGTTGTTGGACAGACTGATATATTAGGTGAGGAGAGGTTGATTCATGCAGATGCAGAGGATGAAGCGGCCCTCCAGAGTCAGCGTATCAGCCGTCCCTGTTTGAGGTAGAGTCGCTCGCGATGGAGGAAGCATCCTTTTTCTTCGACAATCCTCCCTCGGTGGCAAACTTGGACTTTCCTAGTCTTGTCTTGGGTGACTAACTGTATTTACTTTCCATACTTGGCTATATTATTTTACTTTAGTTTGTCCGACACTAGATAAACATAGAGGTACTGGCGGAGGCCTCCCGAACGATCGAAAATTTCAATTTCATGCTAGATGCTGAAATTTTCGATATCTCAAAATATGTGATGATTGGACGGATGGATATTGTGGCGGACATAAAGCTTGCGAAAACAGAATTTTCTGCCACCCCCTGAAAAATAGTAGCAAAACACCGCAGAAATAACCAAAATATCCACGTATCTCTAGAATCATTCAAATATCATCCAATTCATTCAAATACGCACCTTTATCATCAAATCTGCCAATATGCCCCGCAACACCCACCGTTCTACTGCCTCGCAAGCTCGTAAAAGGACTCCAACTACCCTGCGCCTTCGTCTGTCCAAACCGCCTGTTCCGGATGTTCCGGATAATGACGAGAATCCAACTGATGATGAGAAGGAGGAGGAGGAGGAGGAGGAGGAGACACAGCCAGAAGATCCTCGATTTCTGCGAACACCTACCCCTGAGCCTGAGATCTCATTCAGGCTGTATGAACGGGTGATTATCAATGGGATAAAGGAGCCTATAAAGATCAAGTTACGGAATGTCACAACAAATGATATGACTGTCAGCTTCTATCGTATCCAATATACTGCAAAAAGAATAGCTGAAGAGTATGTTATGAAGCAGAACTGCAAGGAGATAGAAGTTGCAAATTGTATAGCAGTCATCTCATCAAACAAATGTGGATCTTCAATCAAAATCACCCTCGAGGAGGAGACAGATTGGAGAGAGATTATCACTCTTTTGAAGGAGTTATATAAGGAGAAGATGAGCGGATTTAGCATTGAGATTACCACCTCTTTTAATCTTCTTGATATCTCAACTTTATCCTCAAACACCTCTGTAATACGCGGTCCTGCAGCTTTCATTGGAGTGTCGGATTCCCAATTAACAACCCAGGCATTGGCATCAAAAAGAGCATTAGATGTCAAAGAAGAAGTAATCTCACTACCTGCCAAATCCCCTCTCTATCGTCCTGCCAAATCCCCTTGAATTCATGAAATATCTGATGACGAAAAGCTGCCGCCTACGCGTACAAGATCCACGGCCACTAGCCAGCAGCTGAAGGAGGCTCGAAATCGATGGTCAAATGAGCATGATTCTTTGCGGATTGGGCGTGAGATAACTGCTCACTGGCGTTGTCAAAAGATGAATTGTCATAACTTTGAGCAGGGCACTTGTTGGATAGCTTTTGATGATACTCATATTCAACTCCTGAGTAGTGAGATTGCCAGTTGGATAGATGATGTTGAACGTGGACATGCAACAGTTAAAAATCCCTCAAGAAAGATGACAAAAAGATTAATGAATAGAAAGGAGAAGAAGGAACAAAAAAGCGAATCTATCTCTGCTTCTAATCCTTCTATACAGACACCTCAGATGCCAGCAGTTATATTTCCTCCCTCAACTCCTTCTTCATCTAATATTGTGTCTCCAAGTGAGATAATCAATGTGATGGTGATGAAATATATGATGGAAGGAATGGGAGGCATGGGAGGACTGAATTCAAACTTGTCATCGAATTCAAACTTGCCATCGAATCCCAACCTGCCGTCGAATCCGAACCTGCCATCGAATCCGAACCTGCCTCCTATTCGAAATAGTCCAATCCCTCAGTTTGGTGAACACGCGGATCTGTTTATTGATGAGTTCTTCAACTGGTTGATGACAGAGAGAGACCTCGAAGAGCAGAAGCTCTTTTAACTGCAAAGAGCATTATTCAGAATGAAGGATTTGAACTGGATCATATACAGACAATGACAAATGAGCAGGTGGTTCAGTTGAATATTGGAATGGGTATATTCTCAATAATAAGAAATGGGTTAAAGAGTCCTATCTGGCAGTCACAGTTGAAGGAGATTAAATTGTCTTTATCTGCTGTTTGTAATGATGACAGCAGACCTCATACTGCTTCTGCTTCTGAATTTGAAACTTAGATATTAAATATCATCATAATTGAATTGCAATCTGAATCTTTTTAAATTTTACAATACTATTCTATATGAGCAGATCTGAAATATCCTCTTGCATCTTCTTCTCCCATGAAATTCTCAACTGCATGATGCAAGAAGGCTTCAAAATCTCCATCAAACTGATTCTCTAACTGACATCTGTATCTTCTAATCCATTCTTTCAACGCGTGAAATGACTCCTCTATAGGATTATAATCAGGAGAATATGGAGGTAAGAATAAAAGTCCAATGCCAGCTTCTCTGCAGAGATCTCGCAGTGCTTGTGAACGATGAGAAGAGCAATTATCCATCACTAAGTAGTGATAACCTCATTGGCATTTGGGCAGTATCCGGACACGTACAAACTCATTGAACCTCTCTGTATTATAGGACCCCTGATATATATCATAATCAAGATATCCATTGACATTTATTGCAGGTAAGATTGACCATCTGCGAGATTGTTTACAGGGCCTTCTAATGCGACAAGGGAATCCTCTGCTTGACCATCCATATCGTCGATCTGCAGTACGTTCATTCACAGCACTCTCATCTAAAAAGATAAGTTGATCAGGTTGATACTGAGTAACTTGAATACGCCATTCAGCTCGAAGTTCTTCGTTGCGTGAC